ATATCTGATGTTCAGATGAGTTCCAATAAAAGTAATTTTTTTTTCAAAAGTTGTCTTTTCTTGGGTGCTGGAGGATTCCCAAGGAAGTTCACACTCTGTGGAGCCCAACAGCAGTCTCACCCTTTAGATTGGCCAGAGCTCTGCTAACTCATAGTGGGAGTTCTTTAGCCTGATTTGGAATCTGGATTTGGAGGGAGTTAGGCAGGAAACTGGTCTGTGAAGTCTGAGATGAGAAATGGAGTTAGGTCTCTGATTTTCCCAAGGCGCTGCTGGGTGCAGTGAGAACATGAGGGTTTGGAGGTGAGCTGCTTCTGCCTGTTCCTCCGCCTGGGCCGTGAGAATGATGTTTCCAGGTTATGAGAATGCAGGTGCCTAGGGGGGCCTGGTGTGCACCTGCAGTTTAGTTTACTTTTGTAATCTTTGTTTTTGGGGTACTGGGACTTGAGCCCACGACCTTGCACTTGCCAGCAGGTGCTGTGTGTGCTGCTGTGCCAGAGCTGTACCCTTGGCCCTAGTTTTGTAATCTTTAAAAGGTTCCTCTAAGGGGTTCCTGGGGGTCTGGCAGTTCCTCTCCAGTTAACTTTTATCTCAGTTTCTACATGTAATTTTACTTGGAGAAAGTGGGATTTGTTTGGTTTTGTTTTTATTTTTTATTTTATTTTTTGTCTTTTTGAGTCAGGGTCTCGCAGTGATCCTCCTGCCTCAGCCCCCCAAGTGCTGAACTTACAGAAGTGTGCCATCTCCTTTGACTTTTTTCTTTTTAAATAGAAGATGATTTATTGGAAGGTGGGGAAAGGAGGGAAAAAGAGATGGCACCACCACTCTGTATGTGTAGGGAGTGTTCAGAAAGTAAGGACTGCTGGAGGAGGTTTTGTTCTATAAGTCTTTAAGATACACCCCATAGAGACAGAGCTGGAGCAGAGGACAGAGGGTTTCCTGACCGCAGGGCCCTTTGCTCTGCTTTCCCCTCATGACTTCCAGATCTGGGCTTTCCAGCGGGCCTTGTGCTGCTGGCCTGCCCTGCCCTGGGGGGTGTGGCCAGCTCAGACTGCGTTGCAGGTGTAAACACAGACCAGACCTGAAGGCTTCCTATGAAGAGAATGTTTTTCCTTTTTATCAGTACTGTGGATCAAACTTAATGACTGCCTGCTTGCAAGGAAGGCGCTTATGCCGCTGAGCTAAATTCCCAGCCCCTATGACAGAATGTAAAGTAGCTCAGTAACTTGCATGTGTGTGTGGAAATATTTTGGGTATATTTAGTGAAATAAAAATTTATTAAAACCCACCCATTTCTTTGATAAAGTGGCCACTAGAAAACAGCAGAGCAGCTCTGTTTGAAACCGCGGCTCACGCTGTCCATCGCTGGGTGCTGGGCAGCACTGCTGCAGGCAATGGGGACTAGCAGTGGTGCCACTGCTCCCTCCCAGGCCGCGCCCAGGCTGCCCAGGTGGGCCTGCTCCCAGGGGATCTCGCCGTCAAGGCATGGGGAGCTGCGTGTGTGTTCCCAAGACACTGCCAGAGTGTGCCCCCCAGCCCAGCCTGGCCAGGCTGGCTGCTTGCCGCCCTGTCTTGTGCTGAGATGACTGTACCCTGTGCTGCCCCGAAGGGCCACTAGATGTTGCTCTGCAGCCCTGAGAGAACAAAGACTTCTCAGGAGCCAGGGCTCAGCCTAGCTCTGCTGGAAATCTTTTATGGGAGCAGCAGCCAGCAGCTGTGGCCTGGCTTGGCCCTCCTCAGGGTAACAGGGTAACATGGGCAGTGGGAAATGCAGAGCAGGACTTCCTGCAGTGTTGCCTACGTGCCCGGCCACCAAGGCAGCCGGAGATGGGCTGCAGGTGAGCCGGCTGACTTCACTGTAGTTGGCTGGTGAAGAGGGCTGGGAAGAAAGCAGCTCGTGTCACGCAGCTGGCTCTGCTTTCTGGGTCTTGATCCCGCAGTGTCAGGCAGACTTGCCCTTTTCCTCCCCGCTTCCAGTTGTCACTGTGGTGGGAACTGGAGGTAGGGAGATGGGGCACGGGTAAGTGAACAGAACTGTGCCATCTTGAAACAGGCTTAACAGGCACAGCCTGGGCAGGTAGGGTTTCCTGACAGCTTCCTTCAGTCGTAGTGAGTAGGCTGGCAGTGCCATCCCATTCCTGCTCTGCCACAGGCACCATTTTGCTTCCGACAAATGTGAGGAGGTTGGAGTCAGTCTGTAAAGAGCTTCATTTTTCTCCTTTTGTTGAGACAGGGTCTCACTGTACAGTACAGGGTGGTGTTGATGGCACTCCCACCTCAGCCTCTGGAGTGCTGGGATTACAAGCCTATGCCACCCCTCCAGGTGCTAGAACACCTTTTGAAGGAGCTCGGGAAAGGCTGGCTGGACAAAGGCAAGAGGACAGCAGGGTAGCGATGTTGGGAAACCCTGTGTAAGTCTGTGCTGCTTTGGAATGAGGTGGAGGTTGGGCGCCCACCATGAACTCAAATAGCTGGAACTGAAATTCAGGTACAGGTAACAGCGTGGGCCCTATTTTTGCAAAGGCACAGATTTCAGGTATAGAAACCTGGCTGCAGTCTGGGAGCTGGCAAGCATAATTTAACACTAGAATCTGAAGGGGAGCATAAGATGCTATGTGGCCATCTCAAGCTGGGCCTCTGCACCAGGGCCTCGGGGAAGAGGCTGGCACTCAGCTTTCCTTATGAGGAAGACATCCTGCCAGGAGAACCAAAGAGCCTGCATTACTGCATGCCTCCTGAAATGAGGGACAGGAAGGGTAAGGACAGCCCCATCTGCACAGCAGGATGGGTTGCGTGTGGCTCCAGTATAGTTACCTCCACCAGCACCCTGGAGGCACGTCCCCAGGGTTCCCATGTGACATGGGACCTTTAAGAAGTGGCGAAGTCATGGGGTCTCCACCCTCATAAGGCTCTAATGTACTTTCTACCAGGCTGGGTGGCATCCGCCTGGCACTTGTCTTTTTCACGCATGCACGCTTGCTTACACTTTACCATGAGTTGTCCTCCCCTGAGCAGGTTCTTGTGTAGGGTCTGGGCAGTGCCCCTTTGCAAACTGAGCAAAATATGCCTGTTTTCTTTATAGCTTGCCCAACAGAACTGGACTAAGCTGTAGCTTGGCCACTTGGAAGGGGATGTTCAGAGCTGTGGAGAACTGAGCCCCTTGGAGCAGAGCAGTGCATGTCCATTCAACGCCAAGCGCAGCCCTCAGGCTTTCAGTTGTGACCGTTGACAGAAGTCTCTTGAGTAGTGAAGAAGTGCTAGCACTTTCAGACTGGGAGACAGCATTGACACCAGTGACTCCAGATTCCTTTTTGTGCCCCCTAGTACAGTTGGCAGAACTGGTGCAAGCCGACAGTCTAATGTGCAGGCACAGTCAGGAACTGGGTATTGGCCCCTTCTACTGAGTGCTGCATCGTTTCGGGCCAAAGATTGTAATCTGGATTCAGATGTGGTTTGTGGCTCCCACTTACCAGGTTTGTGGTCAGGTTTAAATCAATCCCCAGAACCAAACTAAAATGAATGAATAATAAATGAACTGTGGTCTTTGTGAAGGATCTGGATTCGTGTCTGTGAGAGGAACGGAACCAGAACTTTACTGGTATGTTTTCAAATTGCTTATATTTATAACGAAAAACATACAAATCAAGAGGACAAGTAGCTGGTTGGAGACACAGCTGCTTCAAGTTTTAACAGATCGAGAGGGTGTGGAAGCTTCGAGGTCCTACTTGATGGCTTTAGGTCAGCCTGTCTGGGGCTGCCGCCCAACCAGGGGCTTTAGGCCCTGCTCGCTCTGTAGTGGGGACCCGGTTGGTCCGTGGAGTGGTCCAAGATGCCCGTGCCTTTTGGGCCTGGGTTTACCGGACATGCCCCAGCGGCGGCACTGATCTGGAATAAGGGGACCGATGCGAGGCCGGGAACCCATCCAGTCCGTCTCTAGGCCAGCAGCTGCTAACGAAGCGGCGGGAACAAAGGCAGCACGTGGCGGGCGGGGCGGGGCGGGGCGGGGCGGGGCCGGCCCTCGGCCGCCCCTCCCACCCCTCCACCTCCGCTCCCGGCGCTTCCCACCACGGACGAGCGGGCCGAGCGCGGACGCCGGGGACACCCGCGACCAGGCTGCCGCCTAGCAGTGCATGAGGCGGCGGCACCGAGGGGCGGGGCGGGGAGGCGCGGGGCGGGAGCTGTCCGCGTCGCCGCCGCCCGGTCCGACTCCTAGATGGGGTTCGGCGACTAAAGGCGCCTCTGGCTCGCGTCCGCGTCGGCCGCATCGTGCGCAACTCGGGTTGAGGACGCCGGCAGCCGCGGTCCCCGGAGAGACCAGGCCCGCTGGGGCCGGCGCGCGTGCCCGAGCGGCAGGCCTCTGAGGCGCGCGCCTGGGCGGGGGCGGGAGCGGGAGCGCGGCGGCGCGGGCGGACGGACGGGCGGGGGCGGGGCCGCGGCGCCTGCAGAACCTTGGACAGAAGCTTCCGAGCCGCCGCCGCCGCCGCCGCCGCCGCGCGCGATCCCCACCGAGTGCTGCCGAGCGCCGCCGAGCGCCGGGACAGCGGCGGCCGAGCCGCGGCGCGCATTGCGGAGGCCCGGAGCGCAGGAGCTGCCGTCCGCCGGGTAAGCCTGTGTTGGCGGCCATCTGCCCCCGCGAAACCGGGATCGGGTCGCGGGAGGGTTTGGGGCGGGGGTCCGCGGGTCGTTGCCGACTGCCCCAGGCCGCAGCGATGGGGGTGCTACGAGAGGCGCCCCGGCTGCCGCGAGGGGCGCGGGTGGGGCAGCAGAGGTTAGGAGGGCCGCGCGGATGCCGGGATTAGGTCCGCCGGGGCCCCGGGACGCGGAGCCCCGCCCGGGGCTGAGAACCATCTTGTTTTCCACGCAGATCCGGAGGGGCAGCACACGTCCCGGGAACCCCCCTCCTTCTACCGGGGCCGCCGCAGGCTCGGCGAGCCGCCTTCCCCCTCCAGCCGTCAGGCTGGGCGCGCAGGGGCGCGGGCCCCCGCCGGGCGCGCAGCGGCACCATGGGCACGGTGCTGTCCCTGTCCCCCAGCTACCGGAAGGCCACGCTGTTTGAGGATGGTGCAGCCACGGTGGGCCACTACACGGCCGTGCAGAACAGCAAGAATGCCAAGGACAAGAACCTGAAACGGCACTCCATCATCTCCGTGCTGCCCTGGAAGAGGATCGTGGCGGTGTCGGCCAAGAAGAAGAACTCCAAGAAGGTGCAACCCAACAGCAGCTACCAGAACAACATCACGCACCTCAACAATGAGAACCTGAAGAAGTCGCTGTCCTGCGCCAACCTGTCCACCTTCGCCCAGCCCCCACCGGCCCAGCCGCCTGCACCCCCGGCTAGCCAGCTCTCTGGCTCCCAGACCGGAGTCTCCTCCTCGGTCAAGAAGGCTCCACACCCTGCTGTCACCTCTGCAGGGACGCCCAAACGGGTCATCGTCCAGGCCTCCACCAGCGAGCTGCTGCGCTGCCTGGGTGAGTTTCTCTGCCGCCGGTGCTACCGCCTGAAGCACCTGTCCCCCACGGACCCCGTGCTCTGGCTACGCAGCGTGGACCGCTCGCTGCTTCTGCAGGGCTGGCAGGACCAGGGCTTCATCACGCCGGCCAATGTGGTCTTCCTCTACATGCTCTGCAGGGATGTTATCTCCTCCGAGGTGGGCTCAGACCACGAGCTCCAGGCCGTCCTGCTGACCTGCCTGTACCTCTCCTACTCCTACATGGGCAACGAGATCTCCTACCCGCTCAAGCCCTTCCTGGTGGAGAGCTGCAAGGAGGCCTTTTGGGACCGTTGCCTCTCTGTCATCAACCTCATGAGCTCCAAGATGCTGCAGATAAATGCCGACCCGCACTACTTCACACAGGTGTTCTCTGACCTGAAGAACGAGAGCGGCCAGGAGGACAAAAAACGGCTGCTCCTCGGGCTCGATCGGTGAGCCTTGGAGTCACCTCGTGGCTCAAGGATTCAATTCATTTTTAAAAATTTATTATCAAATCAGAGTTTTGTGTATGTGTCTAGCAGAGCTGCCAAGGGCCTCTCCCTTCCCACATTCTCTCTTTAGGGTTCTTTTCAGCCCTGCAAAAACTTGGGGGACTTTTGAACCACAAACGTTGTACAAACCCAGAAGATGTATTCAGAGCCACCCAGGCGCTGACTGTCCTGTCCAGGTGGCCAGCTCTTGCTGCCTGTGCCCTTGCCGCAGGGGGACGAGGCTGCCCAGTGCTCTCTGGCTGGGAGCAGATGAGGGGCCACTGGCCGGTAGACCCCAGAAGGAATTGGGATTTCTGGTTGGATGCCCTTTTCTGGCACCTCTTTTGGGTGGTTCTTTCTCCTTGGGGCTTCTAGAGCCAGCCATCCTGACCAAGCCTCAAAACAGGTTAGGAGGCAAGATTCCGACTGCCTGGGGCATCTTCACTCGAGGGGAGAAGCGGGTCTTGTGCCAAGATTGTGACGGTCATTTGACCACACACGGCCCTGGTTTGCTATTTTTGTTTTGTTTTGGTTTTTTGCTTTAAGGAGGGCCTTTCTAATGAGAAAGGGAACTTGCCCCCTGCCTCTTGACCACTGCTCCCAGCTCCCATGTTGGTGTTGGCTGGTTTATCTCATTAGGATCTCATTTGAGTCTCAGCTAAAAGAATGGGGTGAAACTGAGGACAGCTCCTTTCCTGGGTGATTTTTTTTTCATTTGAATAATGCAGCTGAGTCATCCTGTGGTGAAAGCCAGGACAGACAGTGGTGATGCCCATTAGCAGCAGGGTCCATGCCTGAGACCAAGCCGATGCCCACCTAAGTGCTGAGACCTCTTGCTGGTGCACATGACATTTGTTCTACTGAGCTGGAGATCAGCTATGGGGCTGATGTGGTCACATCGAATCCCACTCCTACCCCTTCTTTCATAGGATTAATTTAACACGTTTCCAAACAGTTCTGTTTCTTCTGGAGAGGAAGCCTTGCTTGCAAGGTACTGTGAGACAGCTGGATCTTGGAGACAAAGACAGGAGCGTGACTCCCGATTGCTTTGGAAGCTTGGTGATCTTCCAGCTGCTCACTTGCAGCTGCTGGCTTTGGTCTCCACCTTACTTTGGCAGCTGTAAAAACACGATGTATATTTTACTGATTTTCTTTCTAATTCTCTCAGACTGCTGGCTTGGGGTTTGGGAGAGGTCCAACAGAAGGGAGCAAGTCTTCCTGCATGGCCCCCACCCTGGCTTTGGGGAACAAAGAGCAATGTGAAGATGCCATGGAGGATTCTCTTTCTCAGTCCTGGTGCCTGGGGAGCGCTGGAATTGGAGGCTAGGGTCCAGGAGGCCAAGGTCATTTTTCATAGGATTAGGTTTTAGGTGGAGGCTGGTTTCTGCACAAGCACTACTGAAATTCACATAAAAAAGAGAGAGCTGTGAAAGTGAGGTCCTGATTTAAGAGGCCTAGAATAGAGCTTTTCAGCGGAGGTGTTCCAGGAGCCTGGGAAGAGGGCCTCTCAACAGCCGCTGTCAAGGACAGGCTGAGCTATTCCTGGGACCATCAGATAATCGGATGCAGAGCTGGAAGGCACCTGCGGCTGCTGGACTTCACCACAGCCTTTCCTCCGCTGGCTTCCACGCAGCTCGGCTTCTGATCCTGCTGCCACGTGTGATCCAAACCGGGAGGCCTGCGGGGTTCCCTGGGGTGTGGAGGCAGCCCTTGGAGTGCCAAGACTCCAGAGGAGGGTGCATGCTTGTGGTCTGGTCCCTTCAGTTGGCTGAACCTGCCTGGAACTGTGCCAGTGCCACAGGATTCCAGTTTTGTGTCTCTTTCCTTCTCTTTCTCTGTATTATTTTTTTTTTATATTTTGGAGGAGGCGCGCATTTCAGGATTGGTTAAGGACTAAGGAAGCAATCTAGTTCCGTCAATGTGAAGCCTGTGCATTCTCCTCTCCCCTTGCACTGGTCATCAGTATTGTGTAAAGGAACAGCTGATATACTTGAGTGTGCAAGCAATGAACCCATTTGACATGCTGCTATGAAGACTACTTTTAGAACAACAAAAAAAGAAAAAACTAACCTACAAAAAAAAAAACCTTTATTCTTTAATTGTTGCTTTTACAGTGATATTGTGCATGCAAACCAGGAGCATTTTGTGTCTTAAGAAAAATAATCTTAGAACAGATGGCTGTGAAAATTATACCCATGCACAGAACAAGCCACAGGAATAATAGTTCAGGATTTGATTTTTCTCTTTTTCTTGTAAACCTGAAGGGTTGATATATTCTTTCCAGGCAGTTATTAGAATTTAGTTTTGTTCCAGCAGTTGTTAAACCTGCAATGAAAAGAAAACGTGCCATTTTATTTTCTCGGGATTATTTATAGCTGTATATTTGAAACTGCTAATTACATACTTGTGATGTATATTGGTTTTTTAGTGCAATTTCTTCTGTAGCTATTCTTTGACCAAACTGTGGGTATTGTTAATTTATATTTGTCTCATTTTGTATGTATGTATAGTGTGTTTCTGAGTATGTGTGGTTTATAATCTGACAAAGTCACGAAGCTCAGTTTGGCTGTAATTTAATTCCCCTTCCCTCATTTTTATTTATTTTTGTACTGTGCTGATTCAATAAAATGCACTGACCATCCATTACATGGGCCTCTTTCTGTGGGCTGTCATTTGTGAGTAGGACAGGGCACTGTTAATACATGATTCATGCACTCAGGACAAAATTGGATTTGTATTATGGGCGGGAGGGGGAAGCTCTAGGGGAGGAGCTGAGCACACTAAGGTGATTAAGAAAGCACCACAGGTTAAGTCGGCTTTGGTTTGGTGGCAGGGCAGGCTTTCCCCAAAGGCTTCCTTGTGGAGGTAGATGGCTAGCAACTTGAGCCAAAGAGGGTCAGGCCCACACTTGGCTTGGCCAAGTGGGCCTTGGCCTTAGAGCCCAGGCTGGTGACTAGGGCTATTGCTTCCATAACAACTTGCCCTGCTCAGCTCTCATCGGGCAGAGGCTGCTGGGCCAGCAGGAGTGATGGTTACTATGTGGTCCAACCCTGCCAGTTTGGCTCTGTGCAGGTTTCTGAAAGAGAACTTACCTTGGGGCTTTCGGATAAGTAGCCACCCCAGCTTCTTGTGATAAGGGTGGCCCAGACCCATCAGCCCCAGAAGTCCACTTGCAGAACAGCTTCAGGCTAAGGGAGAGGGAAGTGGGAACTGGTCCTCCCTAGGACCTGTGCCCAGAGGTCAGTCAGGAGCTGTCAGCTTGGCTTCCTCACCGCAACTCCATGGTCTGGGTCACAGGAGCCACCGCTGCGTGTGTTGCTTCCAGAGCCAGTACCTGGGAAGCTGAGGCTCCCCCATGACTCCTCCTGAGAACCAACTCATGCTTTTTGTGTCTCTCCTTTCCTTCCACTTCCCCATCCCAACCAGCTGCCTTGCAAAGAGGCTGTGCTGGCCTCTTAACCGCTGCCAGAGGGACCGAAGCCCGTCCTGCTTCAGGTGTGCGATCAGTGCAGGTGTCAGGTCCTCTGAGGCCAAGCCTGGGCTCCTAGCTGTGGGGCACAGGCTCCAGGCAGCGGCAGTGTTTGCCTCGAACGCCACTGCCTGCCCTGTCTCTCTCGCACCATTGTTCTTGCTCACTATTTAATATTTTTGTTCGAAAGCCTTGGGAAAATTATTGCCTATTTTACATTATTTGTGCTTAATTCACCTATCTGGGATAGACTGCTGACTTTAAGCTAAAATTTCACAAGTATAATTTTCAATGACAGAGAAGAACGCCTTTAAAAATAAGATTTAATGCTTTATTGCTCTTGATGGTAAATCAAAATATGCTTTAGAAATAAAGTTAACTTAATGGAAAATAGGAATATATGCACCAAACCATAAAACTGCATTTAATTAAAACAAGAGAAACCACTTCATTGCATACGATCACTGCCCCTTCCCCTCAGCACCCCAATGCCTTAGCTGTGATCAAGGACACCCTAACTCTGGGGTCCTCTTCACTGCCGCACGCTGCAACTGCTTTGGGTGTGCCATAAAAAGTGCTTGTGCCCAGCCAACAGCCCTGTGGCCTGGTGCTGCTCTGTGGGGCCATGGTTGCATCAAAGGCGGGGGCAGGAGGAGTCCACACTCTTCATCCCCCTCTGGCCTCAGACAGACAGCTCACTTGGCAGGATCCGTTTTGGTGTTTAGGATATGGGTTTGCACGTGTCTAGAGTAAAGCAAGTCTGGGGAGTGCAGTGGAGAGGAGAGGCGAGGTTCCAGTTAGATGGTTCAACTAGTGCTACTGGCAATTGGCAAAACTCTGAGCGCTGCTGGACTGGACGTGGGCGCCTCTCATCGTGCAGGCAGCTGACCAGGCTTGATGTCCAGAGGGTTCCCAAAGGCAGGATGCCCATAGGACTCTGTTGCAAATTGCACATAGTACCGAGCTCAGGGATGGGACGGCATCAGGCTGCTGGGACCATTGTGGCCAGCCAGGTGACATCAGGCCCTGGGTGAGGCACAGGAGGTGTCACACAGGCCCTAGGTGGGTTCTACTGGGTCAGAGGGGAAGGAGCAGGGTGAGAGGCAGCATTCATGGCGGACAGAAAACTGAAATTCACTCTATCCCTTTGATAGCCCTGCCAGTTCCTCCCTGCACTCCCGTACAACATGGGGTGCCGGCTCCAAGATTCTCTTTCCAAGGCTCCCTGCCAAAGAACTGGCTGCTCACAGGCTGCAGCATCCCCCTCTGCACCTGAGCCAGGAGAAGGTCTCAGCAAACCTCTGAAGCATGGCGCTTTTTGCTGGGCAGAACTGGCAAGATAGCAGCTCTCCTGGGAGGAGTCCATGGTTGCCAGGCGCCAGCAGGGGTTTGTGCGTGGCGTGGGTGGTCACCCTGGCCTGGCCCGCAGTGCCAGGACCCCACGCTGTTTGCTGCTGCTCTGCCTCTATGGTTCCTGTGTGCTTTCACCCCCACCCAGGCCCTAGCTCTCGTGACTAGGAAACTCAGGCGAGGCTCTGGAGAAGGCAGGCTGGTGATCCCAAATGCTCCCCTGCATTTTCTTACTAAGCAGTGGACATTATCTGACTAGCAACCAGCACACTGCAGAAATGAGCGTGAGACGACTGCAGATGCAGGTGTGGGCTGAGCCGGGCACGGAGCATCCATCCGCACACTGCCTGTTGGGAGAGGCATTTGGAAGGCCTAGGCTGGAGCCCTGGCGGCGAGGGGAGTCTGCCAGGGGCAGGAGGCTCTGGGAAAGAGGGAGCCCAGCTGGGTGTGGCTGAGGGGCTGGTACCACAGGTGGACCTGCTCACCTGATGGCTTTGGCTGGCTGCTGGGGACTCAGGGGTTTAGGGGAGCTCTGAGCCAGGTCCTGAGGGTGATCACCTTGGGGGATGAGAGAACAGGCCTTTGCCCCCAAGATCTCTCTAGTCTCCTGGGGGGACCATATCTTTGGTTGGGGAAACTGTATCCTGGGCTCCCATCCTGTCTCTTTCCTAGGGCCAGCAGCTGGTCACTGACCTGGCACTCAGTGGATGCTTGTGCAGACTAAAGGTACATCCAGCTGCCTCTGAGGTGAGATGTGGGCGGGATGTTGGCCCGGGGGCCTGGGCCAGGGCTCCTGGGTCTTTGGTTTACTGAACAGGGACTGTGGAAACTGAGACAGCAGAAGACAGAGATCAAGGCAGAAAGCCAGGAAGACCACCTCGAGGGGAAGGGAGGAGAGTGGCCCCTTCTGGCAGGGAGCTTGCAAGCTGATTTCCAGCGGCATTAGCAGGGATGCAGCAATTAGGCTGGAACCTAGGATCCCAGGGAGGCTGAGCACCCCCCAGCCTCATCCCGGGTCCAGCCTCCCGTCCTGGCCCATCTCACATGAGGGGTCAGTTGCCCGGCACGCTCAGAGTGAAGCCCGAGCGGTTCTTGGTGAAGTCAGGCTCTGGCTGGTTGAGCCGCGTCTCCACGGACACGGTGCACTTCTTCCCATGGAGGCTGCACTGCACCGGGTGGGTGACGTTCACTTGAAGGTGACGCTTCTCACTGCAAGGACGGATAAGAGAGGTCAGGCAGGCAGTCACGGGGCAGATCTGGAACAGGGGTTCCGTGCAGGCCCTGGGAGGCGACTGCTTGAGCTGCAGGCACCACATCCATGGCTCAGGCAGGGGCTGAGTCACCTGGGCTTTAGGTGTCCAGAGGCAGTTTCTGCCCCGTGATTCTCATCTCCGGGGACTGTGACAGGAAGGTTCCCCCACCATACTCCTGGGGACAGGAAATGTCTGTGATATCCTGGCTGCTGGCCCTGTCTGCTGCAGAGTCCAGTGGCTAGAAGTGGGTCTGAAGTGAAGGCTGGTCCCACCCCAGGGCCTGGGGTAGTGACGCAGCTTTGCTTGCCACTGCCCAGGGGGGTGTTGGGGTCACGCTGACAATGTTCCCTGTCTGTGTCCCCGAGACCTGTATGGAAGGACTCATGTTTCCCTGCCTGGGAGTCACATGCCTCTAGGGTTTGCGAAGGCACAGCCAGGGATTCCTCACTGCTGCATGAGCTGTGGATACGCACTCCCTGCTGCAGAGACAGAGCTCTTTCTCTGGCTACTCACACCACGGGGACTGTGCTAGAGAAACAGCTGGTCATATTTCATTTTTTAAATTATTAGTTTTTTGCTTTTATGGAGACAGAGTCTTGCTATGTATTCCAGGCTGGCTTTGACCTCATAGAGATCCTCCTACCTCAGTCTCTTGAGTGCTGGAATTACAACTGTGCACCAGCTGCTTATTTTAAAAGCTGAAAAATTTGTCAGACTAGTGCCTGTGCCAGCACTGTTCTGCGTTACCCCTCGGCTCTGGGCTGGGAAAAGCGGTGAGAGGGGACTGGCCTACTGGTCCAGGAACCTTGGGTCAGGGCAGTTTCCTGCTCTGTGTGCCCAAGGCTCTGGCATTTCCTTTGCTGCTTCGGGTGGCATGCAAGGTACACGCAGGCTCTACTCGGGACTAAGCTTTTTCCTTGAACAATGGTGCGACGCTACTGTGTCCACACTGCAGTGAGTAGGCCAGGGCTGAGCCAGCATGCACTGAGCTTCTGCCCTGCCAGGACAGGTGTCCCCTCAGCCACTGGGGATTGGATGCTCGCTAGGATGCTGAGGTGGCCCTGGGCTGCCATGCTGCTGGGAGAGGCCTGGCCTGCAGTGGCTCCTGTAGGCCCAGTGTGCAGGGAACACAGCTGCCTGAGGGCTCCCTGTAGGCGCGTCCCACAGAAAGGCTCAAAGTTTAGCAAGCAATTTGAGGTGTTCTCAGGAGCTCTTTTCCCAGCTTTCCCATCAGCCATGACATAGTGGCAGAAAGTGGGTACCGGAAGAGGACAGTGATTATCACTTGTAAGCATTAGGTCACTTACTGTCTGGTCAGCTGCAGCTAAAAGCTTGGCTTAACCAGTTATTTTAAACTAGTCTTGCATGTAAAAATAGCAGAGCCCATCAAAGGCAATGACTCAGGCCCTCCTCCATCCTGCGAGATTCAGGCTGCTTTGCAGGTAGATGTCCCTGTGTGGTCCACAGACGTCCTCATGCTGGCCCAGAGCAAGCAAAGCCCCAGTTCTGTGGACCTACCTCCAGGTGGGGGTGCCTTCAGGACCAGGTTGGCTCCTACGCCCCTCTTTGTCACCCAGACTGGCTTCTGGGTTCTTCCCTGCTGGCCTCATGACCTCTGAGGGCTGCTTTCTGGGAGCAGCCTTCCTCCTGACTCTGGCAGAGGCCCCGCCTTGCTCTCTCTTCCTGGTGGCGGGCAGTGCCCTTTCCTCAGTGCCCTGCTGGGACCGGGGGCTCTGCCATCCTTCTCCTGTGGAGCCTGGTACAGAGCTGTCAAGACTGTGCACATGGTGGGTTCTAGGAGTTCCTGGTAACTCAAGTCTCAGGGAATGGGCTCTCAACAGGCCACATTCCAGGTCAGCTTGAGAAAACTATCAGAGAGCAAGAGACAGAGAGACACAGAGACAGACAGAAGCGTCGGCACCACTCGTGTTCGGCTGTTCTCAGCAGCAGGCCCTCCTGCCAGCAGCCCCTGCCCAGTAGGTCCCTGTGGCCCTCGGTGCCAGCAGTGTGGCTCCTGTCTGCATCCGCCCCACTCTGGGGCTGTGCAGCTCCTGAATCCGCTCTCAGTCTTGAAGCCACATGCATTTGGTAAGAGGGTGTGAACTGCACCCTTGGGAGAGACTGCAGGACTTCACCTTGACAGTGGAGCCATGGGGGCTGGGGGCCCAGCGTGAGGCGAGCTGCAGACAGCCCTGCTCCAGCTGCCCATCCTGGGCACTGGCTCGGAGCTGCCCATCTTCCCTCTCCTGTCAGGAGGAGCGGAGGAAGCAGGACACAGGTGCAGCGCCTGTGGCACATGTTCCTGTCAGCGCTCCTGGGCAGTGGTGCTGTCTCCTGTCCCTCTGGAGACCCTGCTGAGGGCAGGGGCGAGGCGGGAGCCTTGTGGCTGCAAATGTGGACAGCTCTGGCCCCTTCTCTCTCCATCCCACTCCTCCTGGGCCAGCCCCACTGTCCATCCCTCTTGGTGGGATGTGTTGCCCTCTGCTTCCACACCGTACCCACTGCCTTGGGCTCTTCCCGGCAGCAAGCCCGCGTGGCAGGAGCAGGGGCCCTGGTAGAGCAGGGCCATGTGCATTACGCGTGCATGTGCTGGGGCTGCACCTCCATCTCCTTTCCCTGCTATGCTGCCCAGCTGGCCCCTCCGGAGTCAGACTTGGCTGGCAGCAAACACTGAACCCACTTCCCACACAATCCTTCGACTGAGGAAGAAAGCAGAGCCACAGCGGGAAAGCAAAGGGGGTGACTGGTGGAAACCCTGCACCCCCTTTCCACCCTTGGGATTTCTGGCCTCTCCTGATTTGGGGTCTTAATACAAGATGAAGGGCTATAGGGCTGGGGCGTCTGGATTCTCATCCTGGTCCTGCAGGCTTACTGGCTTCATGACCTTGTTCAAATTTCTCAAGCCTCTGTCCTTAACGAGAGACAAGTGTATGTAAGAAATTGCTTCTTTGCCCACTGAAGAGCGAAGTTAAGTTAAATGAGCAATTTCACCCATCCATTAAGCCATGTTGTCCTTTGGTACTTCGTCCACATCAGGCCCCATGCTAGGCACCAGAAATAAAGAATCGAGCTCCTCGCCAGACTTCAGGGTCCTTCTCCCAGGCCTAGACATGCTGCCTGCCCTCATGGGGTTGTAGTCTGGTAAGCAGTGTTCCCAGGCACTGAGAAAGACATGAAGTGTCACAGATACTGCTATTTTGCTTCACAAAGGAAACGACATTCCTTCTGCAGTCAAGTGCTGAGACTCTGGAGGGGCTCAGAAGAGCAGTTGCCGTGTATGTTCTCTACATATCTGCACACAGTTCACCAGCCCGTATGAACGTGTCTGTGTGTGCTGTCCCTTCTGGTGCGACTGCTGCTCCGGGAGTGGGGCGGTTCTGAGGCCGGTTTAGTTAGGGCCATCATGGCAGACACACCCTTTCCCTTCTCAGAATCCAAGTTTTCCAGCATGGAGAGGGGCCCGCCGGAGCTCAAACGCAGTACCCTGGGACTGGGGAGATCCCTGGTGCTAGGGAACATGAGAACCAGGCCACTAGGTCCCAGCTCCGGGGTCAGAGAGATTCGGCAGGCCTCAGTTTACTGGATCTGCAGGCCTCTCTTACTCAGCCAATTACCTCCGACTGCATTTTCCCATCACCGCAGCCTCCAAATGAGAAGGGCAGGAGTGGGGCAGGTCTGCCTCCTCTAGGATGGAAATGTGCCCAGTTCATGGAGCTTGTTGCTGAGGGACAGTGGCCGGGAGGGCTGCTCCTTAGAAAAGGAATGCTCTGCATCATAAGAGAAACAGGACACCCCTGAGCTCCCACTCTTCTTGCCACAGCCCTGTGTGGCCCTGGCCTGCCCACTGGGGCTGCTGTGAGGCCCAGTGCAGAAGAGGGGCTTCAGTGTGTAACAGGACAGTGAGGCCACGAAGAAGGATGGGCCTTCTGTTCTGAAGGGCTTGGAAGAGTCCCTGCTGGTGCCACCTGCACAGCGCCACTGACAGGCTTCAAAGGAAGAAAGTGCGTGCGCAGGTTGGTGGGCCTCAGTGAGTTAAACACCCCTCACCCAGCTGTCCACACCTGCCTGCACATGGGCCTCAAAGAAAAGGCACAGGTTTCCAAACAAAAGCTTGTACATGAACAAAGGCGTAAGCAACCTGGATGCCCACTGTGAACAAATGGATCAGAAAAACGTGGTGGACCCATGCACTGGAACATTACTTACTGGAATCTTATCCAGCAAGGAAAGGATTAACGTACTGACAAGGCATACACGGAGCCCTGAGAAGAAGCCAAGTGTAAAAGACTATATATTCTATGATCCCATTTATACGAAGAAGCCAAGTGTAAAAGACTATATATTCTATGATCCCATTTATACGAAGTGCCCCGAACTGGCAACTAATACAGAGATAAAAACAAACAAACGAACAAACAAACAGATGAGTTGCTGCTAAGGGCTGCAAGGTACATGGAGGGACTGCTTGAAGGCTGTGGAATTTCCTTTTGAAATGAGGAAAATGTTCTGGAACGAGACTGAGGTGACGACTCCATAGTACTATGCATATACTAAATATGACAATTTTGTGTGAATTTTATCATGGTTTTTAAAAAAATCTGGATTGAGCTATAGGAAACATAAGGTGATGCCCTCAAACTACGCTTTCCTCTCCTTATTTCAAGTCTAACCAAAATAATCTGAAGGCCAGCAAGAAGTGGCTGTGGCTCTTCTGGAGCGAGGAGTTTGGGGCCTGCACACACCCCGAGGCTGCTGCAGGGCACCTGGTGACGCGGTTCTTGCGAGCGCTAGACCACATGCTGGAATCGTGCAGAATCGGGAGTCCTCCCCTCGACTTCTTAGGAGGAGGAAACACATTTTATGAGTGGAGGCAGGCTGCACGGGAAGGCTTTTTCCTCCTGTCTTCTATTACAGGATTTAGTAGCTCAGCAAACTGGAATTCGGGACTTTCATCTCATGTCATCTGTTCTTTGTCATCCTTGCAGGCAAATGGCCTTATCAAATTTCTTTTGCATTCGGACCCACAGACCCAGTCTTGTGCTCTGTAGCGCAGCCTGAGGGTCAATGCAGGAACAGATGAGTACAAAGAATCAACTTAGCCACCTTTGTGCCTTGATGGGCTTCGCACAAGGGGGCTTACTAATGCCTGCCTGAGCACTGCATTTGCCCAGAATGCCTGGGACTAGGAGGCCCTCATACCGGTGCCCTGAGCATTTGGGGAGGACTGGAAGTGACTGGGTCACTTGCTCTTCTCAGCGGCAATCTGGTGACATTTCTTCCGGGCACAGGGATGACCCTGGTCCCAGCAAGTGTGCCTTTAGGGGAAGTGGGTGCATGCAGAGTCTTCTCGTGTCAGCCCACAGGACACGGCAGGAGGAACCTCACCTTGCTCGGAGCACAGGCGGGGAGTACACAAATGCTTTTGAATATCTTAAATGCTTCAGGATAAACCCAGAGTCACAGAGACAGGCCATTTCCATCTGATATCCCTGAGACAGAATGTGTGCTCTCCAGTTCACAGGGAGGACAGGGCCACCAGTCGGGCTGCCCAGAGCTTCTGGGTGTAGCCCTGAAGTGTGGTTTCGCTTTCTTCCAGAGCAGTCCTGCTGACGTGAAACCACAGAGGGCATCTCTTTCACAACCCTGCTGTAGGGGACACTGCTTCTGCTTGTATCAGAGTGGAACGGACATTTGCATCACAGTCACTTCTGAAGTGAGGCTAATGCCCAGCACCAGTGCAGCCCCAGAGCGGTGGACCTGCACTTCCTGTTCCACTGAGGCCTTGCTGGGCGTACAGGTATAATTTCCTTTTCCTTATCATGAAACAGCTGGGTCATATTTTAGGATGCTGCCAGGACCTCAGCCTCATCTGGACTCTGCCTCCATCCCAACCGTGAACTACTGTGGCATCCAGGTGGCAGAATCTATGCCACCCCACTGTGTCTCTGCCACATCCAGGAACCTCTCAGGGACACCTTCCCCCTTTTCTCCGTGTGGTGCCCCGAAGCCCACCTCTCGTTTGCTGCTGTTCTCTTGGCAACCACTCAGTGAGCACCCTCAAAGGGCTGGCCAGCGTCTAGAAATAGTGTGAAATGAGCAGGCTGTGGGCTGAGCCAGGGTATTTCCATCCGAGATGGGAGAGGGCCTACGCTTCCATCTGGGTGAGCACAGAGGAAGAAGCCTGATCTCCAGTGGCTGAGGTAGGTTTCCTAGAGGAAGTGACAGCCTCAGAGACGTAACCTCAAAGATGAGACTCCTGCAGGAGCTTTCTGCCTTTGTTTTCTCATTGCTTAAATGACGCTGGATGTTCAGGTCTTTTCATTTGATATGTTACCTCAGTGGTGCTACCCACAAACCCCATGCAAGCATTGTTCCTATCCTACACCTCCAAATAAATCCACTGAATACCCTGGACAGCTGGGTCTTTATATGTACAACACTGAGCCTGTCCTCTTAGCCATCTTCCCTCAAACTACTACTTCCCTCTTGTCATGCAAGCAGGTCACAGCCAGAGGCATCACCCAGCTGCTTCGGAGGCCAGGGGGCCAGGAGCCAGCTCAGCTCCCTCCTTGCCTCTGTGGCACACATGGAGTTCTGTCCACCTGCCTGCCTCAGGCTCTCTAAGGTCTCTAGGGCCTGACTGGAATGGGCCCCTGTCCCTGTGTTCTGCCGTGGTTCTAACTGGTGTCCCCACCTTCCCTCGGCCCCATTCTTGCTTCAGGTACACCCTCAACACTGTATCAGAGGCTGTGTTATAGGTAAAAACAAATTCTCCCACCCCTTGCCACCTTCTTGAGTCCTTGCCCAGTTTTCTAGGTGCCAGCTTCAGAGTGAGGTTGTTTGCCCATGGGCTGTGTTCCTGGTCTCTGAGGAGCTCTGCTGGTCCCAGCAAGGGGCAGGACCTACAAGCCTGACTCCAGGTGTCTGCACGTGCAGAGTCCACTTCCACAGAGGACACCTAGCAGCACAGTGGATGTTAACGGAAAGCAGGACAACTGCAGGTGACAAGGAGAGGCCAGGGCTGGAGCAGCACGGGAAGGCCTGGCTGTGCCCAGCCCCAGGACACTGGCCCAGGCCACAAGTGCAAGTACTAGGACTGAAGCTCCATGGTCAATTGGGCTGGCAAAGGCTGCCAGGCCTGTGAACAGGCCACCTGAAGTCGGCCTTCTGGCCTGGCAAAGTAGCAAAACACCACCAGGCAGGAAAGCAAACAATTTTCTGTAAAAATCAGGGACCTGCATTTTGCCTGTCTTTTGACCTCTTGAAAAGTGAGCCTACCTTAAATCACCAAAGGCAAAGGGACAACCCCAGGAGGACAGAAGGGTCCCCCTGCCGGCACTGGACCAATGGCCTTGTGAGTGAGGCAACAACAGAATCGCAGTCCTATACTCTCTGTCATCTGAGAGAGAGGACAGAACAAGACAAGGACTTGCGTGTTGGCCAGTCTCCACTGTCCTGAAAGGATGGCAGTGGGACCTGCTGTAGGACACACGCACCAGGAGACCAGCAGTGATGGTCTGTACATTTCACAGTGAAATAGGCACTCACCATGAAAAACAACAGTAAAAGCAACTGACTCTTAGGGCTTAAAACAGTATTGATCTATAATCTTAGATGACACTGGGGGTGGTGGTGCACACCTGTAATTTCACACTTGGAGAGGCTGAGGCAGGAGGATGGCTACAAATTGGCTACAGAGTGACTTCAAAGCCTACCTGAAATACAAAATGAGACCTTTTTTGGTCTCAAACAAACAAAACAAGAAAACCCCACCAAAACTCCAAATTCAATCCTCTTGGATAAAAAAACAAAACAAATCAAAAAAACCATTCAAAACCAAAATGCCTAGGTAACAACAGCAGCATAAATGATGGGGGGAGGGGATGTCCCAGTGGACATTTGACAGAATCTAGTCTGGGAGGAGAGTAGGGAGACTGGTGGACATCAGGCCTCTTTCAGACAAGCAGAGACGTGAAAAGGACTAGTGGGAAACAAGACAGGAAGCTGTAAGGTGCACCTTTCAAAGTACAAGGAAGCGTGAAAAGAGAACTTGACCTGTCTAAGGGGCAGAAGGGGGGAAGGGGAACAAAGGCACAGGAAGTAACACGAGAACAACAAAACACAGACCAATGTGGAATAATAATGAAGAAGTATTAAATATATAAATGAACACAGTAAACCAGAGGTATAAACTATCCAAGGCATTTGTCAGATTTAATTGTATGTTTTTTTTTTTTTTTTTTTTTGAGACAAGGTTTTCCTACCTAGTTCAGGCTGGCCTTGAACCCACTATGTATTCCAGGCTGGCCTGGAACTCACAGTGATCCTCTTGCCTCAGCCTCCCAACGGCTGGGATTACAGGCCTGTGCTATCACACCCAGCTGTCAGATTTAATTTAAAAGTTCAAGTATATGCTCTAAATCGCAATGACACAGAAAAGTTAAAAAATAAGGACTTCAATAAGATCGACTCCATTATTCTAAAGAAAGCTAGAAAAGTTTTGCTGGGAAAAAAGCTTGCTAGATAACTGTTTTATCAAGGAGTGGTTCACTGCATACACACACATGTGTGCACACATACCTGTGTGTTAACATCTTTCTCAAAACTATATAAGTTAAAAAACAAAAACAAACCAAAAACCCTTTAGGGTGGGAGATATAGTTCAGCAGCATAAGTGCCAGCCTGCAAGGGCAAGGTCTTGAGTTTAATTCCTCAGACAATATTAAAATAACATACAAAAAGATATTACATAAATGTACCAATTCCCCACAACAAATGTAATAATCATTATGTACAGCAAGCATGTACTAATAACAATAAAAATAAAAATTGAGGAAACAGCCAGGGGTGGTGGTACATGCCTGTAATCCCTGTATGTGGGAGGCTAAGGCAGGAGGACTGCCATGTGTTCAAGGCCAGCCTGGAGTGCACAGTAACTGAACTACATGGTGAGATCATGTCTCCAACACAACAATCAGAGAAAGCACATTTTTTTAAAGTACACCCACAGCAGGTTATGGATAGACCATGTAAGAAACTTTGATAAGAACCTGAGATTAGCATCACACAGAGCCTACCTTTTCTGTCCACAATGCAATACACATGCAAATTAAACAGTAAAAAATATATAACCATATCGCTATGGGCTGAACTGTGTTCCTCCTGCCCGCACCCAGGCCCTGAAGCTCTCAGACTAACACAGCTGTCTTTGGAAACTAGGTCTTGGGTGCGGGGCTGGCATGGAGCCCAGGGTCCGCTGCGCACAGGAAAGAGCCTTCCCCAGAACCTAGCCACGCAAGACTTTCACCTGGCACGTCCAGCCTCAGGGACTGTAACAAAGTATGTTTCTGTTGTTTGTCACCTAGTCTGTGGCATTTTGTTATTGTCACCTTAGTGGACTAAGGCAGATGGCACAAAAAAAAGTATATAATAGCTGCGCAGCAATTATCAATTCATCAAATCCTTATTACAACATAAGGTAAGTTCTATTTTCAGAAGAGGAAATTAGCCCGAAGAGGTCAGGACCTGCCGAAAGTCACACGGCAGAGGCAGAACTTGAACGCAAATAACGCAGGACACAGCCGAGGACTTAAACTCCCTGCTTGTGTGCTGTGGAGAAAACAGGAGGAAAGAGGCCACCTGCGCTTCCTGGTTACTGTGGGCTGGGGGAGGGGAGGGAGGAGCCGAACATTTCCCCGCCTGCAGAGATACAGCTCCTAGTGCCCTGTCTGACACAAATAGGAAGCCACCAGTGTCTATGGAAAGACAGGATGGGTTTTAACAAATATGACACAATTACTAAAGCAGCGGGGGCTGCTACCCAGGAAATGAGGCCAGCACCCAGCGCCTTGGAGGCAGGGTTGTTAAGAGGCGGGGTGGAGCCACCCTGCGCTGGGCTGGGACTCTGGAGGCCAGGAGAGAGGCCTGTGTGCTCCCGATGCCTCGCTGGGCGCACTGGCTGTCTACACAGGGCATGTTCAGCACATACTAAGAGGCCCTAGGGAGCCGCACTGTGCCGAGATTCCTTGGGGAACTGCAGAATCCTGACCTTGCTGTTTAGGCCCAGAGTTCTATGTAAAGAGGAATTTTATTTTTAGCTGCTTCTTTTTTTTTTTTTTTTTTTTTTTTAACCAGTTACCAGGGATCGAACTCACGACTGCACGCTTACAAAGGCAGGCGCTTAGCCGCTGAGCCAAATCCCTAACCCCAGATTTCTATATTAGATGATGCCTCATTACTAATGATATTCTCAGAGAATTTTGAAGGAGGGAATATTTGGACTGTTTGATGAACCGTGTTGTCGTTTCTATGTCCTGAGACGTTATGGAGACAAGCAGAGACGCTGCGGATTTCTCAGGAATATGCAGCGCAGATAGTGTGGGCAGAGACCTCCCACGATCACTTAGCCTGCGGCCATCCAGGCTAGGGCTGCTTAGCAGTCTGCCTTGCGCAGCGCTAAGGCTCTTGGTAATGAAGAACTCAGTACTGCATTACACACTTCCCAGGCCTCATCTTATTTAACCCTCCCCACGCCGTCATTGTGCTCCCTTAATCCATGAGGAAGCAGAAGATTGGAAAGGGCGAGCAAGTTTTCCCACAGATGGAAAGTGGGGAAACAGGGAGTGAGCCCAGGGCATTAGCCTCCTGAGCTATCCGAGCTACCTCCCTTTGCCCGGCTGGAGCCTTGCTGGGGGGGGGGGGGGAGTGACCTGTGAGGTGGGAACAAGGGAAGCCCAGGCACTGGGCAACTCAGGACGCAGCTCTCCGTGTCTGCACAGAGGTGCTTGGCTTTGCACTTTCAGACCCATGCTAGCCCCAGTTCAGGAGACACTACTGCCTCGGCCTATCCCTGAAAGGGTGTTGTCCTGGGACCTGAAGCAGCTGTGTGCTCCCCATGGTCAGCTTTGGCTTTGCTCTGGATTCCCAGAGGAAGACATGGGCTACTGTGTGGTGAGCTTCAAGGTTCTTCCCATGGTGTCACCGCGGTGCCCGCTCTCTCGGCAGAGTGGACAGGGTAGGAGGAGGAGGCCTGGCTGTACCCACCGTGAGAGATCTGGAGGGGGATTTATTTCCCCACCACAGACAACATCAGAGATGGCGGTGGTAAAAATGGCCCACTTCACCCATGTTTATAGCAGCATGATTTGTAATAGCTAAATCTTGGAAACAACCCAAATGTCCATCCGTTGAGAAATGGATAAAAAAGATGTGGTATTTTTATACAATGGAGTACGACTTAGCTGTAAATAAACTTGAGGCTTTTATAGGTAAATGGATGCAACTTGAGACCATACTCATAAGTGAAACAGACCAGATTCACATGTGTAAATATAATATTGTCTCCACCAAAAGATTAAGATCCAACATGCACAACAGATATTGTGAAAAGGGAAGAAACTGCTCAAAGGAAAGAGAAACTGGAATGGGGGAAAGGAGAAAAGAAGGAAGGGAAAGAAAAAAAATATGTATGTATACAAGATGGCTAAGATATTATGCTACTAATTTCTATTAGTTCACTGAAAAGAATAGTTTGTGCTTACATTATTTGATCAGTTTTTCATGCCTGTATCTGGTAATCTGAGCAACTATTCTGAAGATAATGATATATAATATATTAACCATCGTTAATCCCCTATTAGCTTGTTTTAAAATTCTGCATTGTTTTTTTCTCTTAAAAAAAAAATGGCCCACTTTGCTTTATATGTTTGGACTCTGGACTTCTTCCCCAAATGTCCAAATGAGTATTTTATATCAGGATAATGAAACCTTTTAAAACCAAACTACTGTCACAGGCAGCTGAACGAGTTAGAAATGCTGTAGACAGTGAGACGGGGCGGGCCCTTAAGGAAACTGGCACAGAGGACCAGATGTCTGGTGACCTTAGAGTAGATACACACTCTTGCTGTGGGCCAGATCTCAGGACAGAAGGCAAAACAAATTCAGCCACACCCTTAAGTATAAACCGCAGGGATTAGGTATGGATCACCTGGAGAAGCCAGGAGTCACCACCCCAACCCCGAGAGAAAGAGTCACTGATCCATAATCACTTTGCTTCCTCATCTGTCTCTAATTTGGTCAATTTTACCTGAACAATTAAACTTATTGGTTGACCATACCTCTGTCCCACCTCTGCCTTTCGAGTTCCCAGCTTTCCCTTAGACCCACCTCACCCATGGTTTTACTCTATAAAAACCCCTAGAAAAGACAGAATCTTTGGCAACCCCCTGGGGTTGTCTGTCTGTCTCTCTCTGTTTCTCAGACAGAAGTTTTCTTTCTCTCAATAAATATATTCTGCTCTTAACCTCCATTGTTCCTAAAATTCATTCTTGGATTTTAGAGAGCATGAACTCACACGGGACATATAGTAGGTTGGGAGTTTGTTTCCCTGTATCACTATGAAGATGAAACTATACTCACAGCTCCTTCAAATATGGAGAAAGAACCAAAAAGCAGAAGCAACAGAACACCCAACCAAACAAAATCTCTACCACAAAACAGAGGGGAGAGCAGTTGGGGCAGAGGTGCGTCCGGCTGGCTTTGAGGTGACCCGGAGGTCCAAGGCCTCCTGGCCTCTCCTCCCTGCCCTCCTTAACCTCTTGTGCTGTATGGCAGGATTTTAGTTTCTAACTGAGAGATTCTTTTCCCTGGCTGAATTTTTGGCCCTCTTTGCCGTCTCCTGCTTACATTTCTACTTCTCCTCTCTGATGCTTCAGCACAGAGCACCTCCGCAGTGGGCACCATCTGCGTGCATCACTGTTTATTTTCTGTGCACGTCGGTAATGAAGGTGCTAAATAAGACTAGATGCAACAGGCCCAGCACCCATACCTTCCTCTCACAGATCCTCAGTGGCTTGTTAGAAGCACTGGTATGCATTTTCTTATTTGCTTATTCAGCTCACCATTTTCAAGAAGCATTGAGGCCAGGTGTGGTAGTGTACCCGTAACCCTAGCACTACCGGCAGCTGAGACAGGAAGATCACAAGTGGGAGCCCAGCCTGGGCAATTCAGTGATTCAGTGGACTTCGTCTCAAAAACACAAAACAAAATGAAAGACAGAACACAAAATACAGAAGAAAGAAAGAAAGAGGGAGAAAAAGGTTTGGAAGTGTAGCTCAGTGAGACGACCCTGGGTTTACTCTCTAATACCAAATTTAAAAAAAAAAAAAAAGCATTCAGATTTCCATTTGCATAGGTCACAGGTCACTAGATAGAGAAACTAATGAATCCTGATCCCTAATGTCTGGGAATCAAACATTTAAAGCCATTTACACTCCTACACAAACACTCTGGGTATCAAAATATTCAAAAGAGTACAAGAACGCATGTATGAGAGTATAGTATTCATGCATGGCACATTGCTGTAATTCTAGCACTCAGAAGGCTGAGACAGGAGGATTGCAAGTTCAAGGCCAGCATGGAGTAGTACACAGCAAGACCCTCTCTCAACACCCCCTCTCTCCCCAATTATTACTACTGGATTCAGATTTATAGAACCACATTTTTTCTTTTAATAGGGTCTCACTGTGTCAGTGCAGGCTGACCTTGAACTGTGTAGTTTAGGCTGGCCTTGAACTTGCAGTGATCCTCCTGCCTCAGCCTCTAAGGGTTGGAATTATAGGCAACTACCACCACACCGGTTTATAGAACCACATTTTTGAACAGGGTTGGGAACTAAGAAAAGGAAGTTTGCTCTGAGGTCAGGAATTGTTAAGGCATTGTCTTCCAACCTGTTCTACATGAAACATCTGCAAGTAAAAGCTTTGGGATGCAAGAGAGTAACACCCCAGCCTCCTCCTCCAGGGCTCAGGGCAGGGGATGGGTGTGGGTGTCCACTGCCTCACTCCAGGTCTGAAAGGCAGGGGGTCCCAGGTGGCTTGCAGCTTTGACAGGTGGCTGGCCACACCTTTCCAATAAATGCTCACAAGCCCCCGAGGCCACAACACTCATTTCCCCCTTCTCCCTGCAGAGCCCAAACCTAGCCCAGAAGCAGGTGGTGAGCACTGAGCATCCTGCGGCATAGCTGATGGTGACTCACCACTTAGGCAGGGTCTGTTTCTTAATACAGTCCTTGGAGTTTTTTTTGCTTTCTTGTTTGGTGGTAGTGGCGGGGGGCATGTGTTACTGGGGATCAACCTGGGCCCTTCCCTTCCCATTAAGCTACGCCCTCAGCACACTCATTACTCATGGCCCTGCTAAGTCACTAAACTGCCCGGGTTGGGCTGTAAATTTTGATCTTTCTGCCTGAGCCTTCCAAGCCGTGGCTAGCTGGCTCAACAGCCACTCAGGTCTACCTGAGCTAGGTTTTTGAACCTAGCTGGGACCTTACCCTTCAGGGATCACTAAGACAAAAAGGTGACGACTGCCCTTTGGAGGACTTAGAGGACTCAGTCAGTGAGTCCAGGGTGAAAGAGGGCAGCATTGTGGGCCTGTGAATAGCAAGCCCAGGGCTGGAGTTTAGGAGTCAAGGTTTAACTAGGTAACCAACAGACACGTGATTAAGGATTCTCTAAGAAAGCAGAGAGAATGCGTTGTTTCCCTCAGAGCCAAGGTCTACAGCTGGCTGATTCCTGGCAGGTTGAGGATCAACCTTCCTTTGCCCCCAGCCCCGAGCCTTGTCTGTGTGCCCTGTGCCTGAAAGGTGTGGCCTCTAGAGCCCTTGTGAGAACAACACAGAAAAGCACAGAGGTGCAGCAGGGGAGGTGGATGGGCAGTGGGTGTGCACTCCCAGGCAGGAAGCCCTATGTCCTGGAGGACATGCCATGCACAGTGGAGAGATGTTTTGGCAGGAGCCCTGGTGCTTGACTGAATGTACATGATCTGAGGGGTCCGCCATGGCCCCAGGCTTTCAACGTGAGTGTGGGGGAGGTAGAGAGAGACAATTAATCCTGCTTGGCACAACACTGAGTCTGACTTCCCCTGGAAAATCAAAAAGATTCCACTGTACATCATGTAGACCCAGGGGTACATAGAACTCATGGCTCTCTTTCTTAACAGAAGGCTTATGACCCAATAAAGTATACCACATCCCCAAACTGTTCCCCTAAACCTACATTCCAAGCAAATTCTTCTGTAAAGTTAGTATGTACAATATCATAATGGTGACGTGCGTTATTAAGAGCAAGCTGGGTGTTAGGGTGCATCCCTGTGATCCCAGCTACTCAGGAGGCTAAGGCAGGAAGATCAAAAGTTTTGAGGCCAGCCTGGACAATTTAGCAAGATTCTGTCTCAAAATTTAACAAGGGATGGTGAGGTAGTTCATGGGTTTAGTATGCAGTATAGGGGAATAAGAGAAGAAAGGCAGCTAAGTAAAAAGTCTGGAATTTGAAAATTTAGTGTTAAAATGGCAATGCAGGCAGTCTACCTGCAGCACCATGCCCTTAGTCAGCCAGCTGCCACTTTCTTTTGTTGTTGTTGTGTTTTTCTGTTTTGTGCTAAGGACCCAACCCAGGGCTTCCAGCTTACCAGACAAGCGTTCTACCACTGAGCTAAATCCCCTTATAAATTGATTGTATCTTTCTTTTGTTGTTGTTGCAGCTGCCATTTTCATCCATCTCTAACTCCTTCCAATTTCTAACTTTTTATTCAAAGTTATTCTTTTTTTTTTTTTCATACTCCACTCCCATTCTTTCTAGTGATCTTCACTTGACACTTTCTGACCTTTTAGAAAACACTATTCTTAGAAGCAACAATGTGAGGGGCTGGGGATTTAGCTCAGCGGCATAAGCGCCTGCCTTGCAAGCAGGCAGTCGTGAGTTCGATCCCCGGTACCGATTTAAAAAAAAAAAAAAAAAAAAAGAAGCAACAATGTGAAGAAGAAGAGAAAAAAGAAAGTTTAATGCCTGCTTTGCAAATTATCTAGAATTGTGGCAATATAGAATTTGGACAATTCCAGCCTGGTGTGATGGTGCAACCTATAATGTAAGCACTTTGGAAGGCTGAGGTAGGAGAGTTGCAAGTTTGAGCTCAGCTCAGACAATTTAGCAATGCCTGGTCTCAAATCTAAAAATAAAAAGGGGTGGGAGCTTAGGGGGTTTAGTTCAATGTGAAAGCAATGTGATTTTGATCCTCAGTACTGCCAAAAAAAAAAAAAAAGGACTTGGGCAATTCTCATGGACCAGTGTTCACTGACAAGGAGGTCGTGGTTTACTGAACCATTAGTAGGAGTCACTATGAGGGGCACCCCAAACTACTGTACTGCACAGCCTAGAAAAGTGCTGTCTTCCCAGATACTAATTTTTGGAACTTTAGTTATAACACATCTAAGTCAGATGTTCCAGTTGGCAGCAGGAAGAGATGGGAACAGGATCTTTCAGATTCTGTGTGTTTAGGAGGCTTGGAGAAGACCATCAGATTTGGAATCAGGTAGTCCAGGGCTCCAATCAGCAATTAATCTTTTTCACATAGTTCTCCAAGTGGGATGATTAGTGACCTCTCATTCCCAGATGAGAGGGTCAAAGGGGAAGCTATGGGCTGTGGCTAGCACAGCCCAGCACAGCACAGGCACCTAGGAGCCCATTTACTGCTGCTGATGGAGGAAGGGATGCAGGGGTGGTCGTGGGGCAGAGCATGGGTAGACGTCTCTGTGCTCATGGCTCAGGGCTCCCCACCCCTGCCACCCCACTATGTAAACCTCCTAAGGAACCAGTATGCCACTTTCTAGGACCCGTTCTGAGGGAACGGCTTGTTGCTTTTAGAAGGCTCTTTTGACTTGCACTTGAGTATTTTAAAAATCGCACTTAGCTGACAAAAGATGGTGTTTACTTGGGGGTGGTGGCACAGGTGTTTTTTATTTTTAAAAAATTATGTATTTATTTATTTAGTTTGTTTTTTGAGACAAGATCTCACTACGTAGTTTAGACTGGCCTTGAACTCATGTTCAGGTGATCCCCCTGTCTCAGTCTCCCAAGCACTGGATTATAAGCATGTGCCACCACACCTGGCTGGCTGGCTTTCCTTCTTGCTTGCCTGCCTGCTTTCTCTCTTCTTTCTTTCATTTGAGACAGGGTCTCACTATGCAGTTCAAACTGACCTTGAGTTCACTTTGTAACCCAGGCTGGTCTCGAACTTGCAAAGATCTTTCTGCCTCAGCCTCCTACGTGCTGGGATTACAAGCATGCACCATCACACTTGGCTAAATTCAATTTTTTTTTTTTTGTAGCAGGTATCAAACTCATAATCTCCTGCTTACCAGGCAGGCACTTATGTCACTGAGCTAAATTCCAGCTCCCACCTGGCTTTTTAAAAAAATTTTATTTTAAAGGGGGTAAAATTAAACATAACAAAACAGAACAAAACAGGGCATAAGAAAGCAATGTAAATTTCAAAGCTAGACAACCTGAGATCTTCACTATCATATTGTTTCTTGATTTCTTCCAAATAGTTGTCCATGTCTTCACATACAGAGAATTCATACAAAACAACATAGTATAAAGCTGATCTGAACTGAATGAGGAAGGTGTTTTAGGGTCTTCAAAAGCAGACAATAGGGAAGTCACTAATGGCTGTCAGAGTCTCTCCTTCTTTTCAAAATAGCTATCCATACTTTCACGTATATTGAAGTTCAAAAAAACAGGCGGGGGGGGGGAGGGGTTGCTTGGTTTCCCAGCCTTCCAGGTCCCAGTATGGCTCAGGTCCCAGTAAACGCTGGTGGCTCCCATCCTGGGCCGCTGCAGCCTGCCATGCTCACAGCCGCTCACCCAGGGTGGTAGGGGTTGCTTTGAGCTGTTTCTTTCTAATGAATTGACCATATCACTGCCCAAGTTCTGAAATGGCCAACAGACCATAGAAAGACATCTCTTTAGGCTCCTGCTTGAAACCAACAGCATCAGGAAGTTGCTGGCCTTGATTCAGGGCCAGCCACCTGGGCCAGCCCCTACCTGTAGTAGGGGTTAAATCCAGGGCCTTTACACGGTGCTACATCTCCAGCTCCCTTTTTGTATTTTTTACTTTGGAGACAAGGTCTTGCTAAATCTCTAAGTTTCCCAGGCTGGCTTGGAACTTTCAGTCCCCTTGTATCAGCCTCCTGGAATGCTGAGATACAGACATGTGCTGCTATGCCTGGCTCACGGTTCTTTTTATACATTCGCCACTTTACTGTTACTAAACCTTTCTGTTCATCCAGGCAACTATAACCCATGGTGAAGAATATTTGGCTAAGTAGCAAGTAACTGGGGAGTTTAGGATTAGAGGAATTCAAAGAGATTAAAACAGAAGTAACTGTCTCACACACCAATCCCAGATACCAGATGCAAAGAAATAAATTATCACTTTCTGTTACCTGTTTGAGAACAGAAGGCTCTACACTCAGCTCTACTGGCTAAAAAGAGAGCCCTCGTCTCACTGCAGAGAGGAGTTGCCACCCCATAAGTGCTTCGGACAGGAAATCTACCCCCTGCTCTGATGCACACTCTTGTGTTGGTAATGATGGAGGGAGACAGCCTTCCTACCGGTATGCTCTGCTTTTCCTATTCTGCGTTTGCTATTTTAAGCAAGTACACAGTGCATCAATTTTCAGCCTCTTACCCAGGGCCCCTGCTACAGAACTGAGAGCTCAGTAATCTTGTTGGGCAGAGCTGAACAATATTCCAACAGATGAAACATTCCCCACCGCCTGACTTCCCTTTCCTGGGATGGGGCATCTATTTCTGGCCCTAAATGAGAGAGGAGCCGGTGGAGGGGGCCCAGTCCTGTTCGCTCAGGAATCCCACATCACAGAAGCCACTCGCCACACTGCTGCTGGAGGACACATTAGAGGCCCCGTGGGGACTCAGTCCATCTGACTGTTCTCTCGTTTTTAAAGTTTCCAGAAATGGGTTGTTTAGATCTGGGCTGGAGCCTGCCAGCTGGAAACGGGGATGTGGCCTCTCTCAGGCCACACTTGTGCTTTTCTTGCTGCCATGAAGAGATTCCATTTTCTTCATGATCACTGACTTGATTCAAGAGCCCAAGAGCAACCTCCCTCTGCCTGCTCCCAGGCTCCTAGGAGATAGCAATGGGAAGTGTCCCCGCGGGGCTTCTTGCCAACTTCAGTGTGACCCTGAACGCAGCCATACTTCTTGAAGGAGGCCAATTGTATTTGATGCCTCAGTGGGCAGTTAGGCAGATTTCCCTGCTGGGTGTGTTCATAGCATGAGTGGCATCAAAAGCAGGCCTTATTTACTGCCTGTTGGGCTACCTGGGAAAGCAGGCAGAACAATCTGCCGCTCCACTCCCTGGCTCGAAAGCAGGCCAGTCACATTTTCCACAGATTTACTCCATGGCTGGCTGGCACAAACGGGTGCGGACACTTCCCCATTCCTACTCGTTTTGTCTCATGTATCAATTAAAGATGGCAGAACAATGAGGTTGAGTGAGTGCATATGTGATTCTGTTGGAAAGTGAGTAACTCAATAAAAACTCTACACCCCTGCTTTGTGCCGAAAGAACTAATTTACAGCACTGAACGGTTCAGCCATTCTTACGGGGACTCTGAATTACTGACTGAACTTCATCAGCATGAAAACAATCAAACCAAATGTACTGTTTCTCCGGGCTGGACATCAGGCACTTTGAGTCATATTTAGGTCACTGTTGCCCAGCAAGTCTGGAAAATGATGTGTGGCCTGATTAGGCAGTTACATGTTTGTGTGAAGTGGCTGTCACAGGAAGGGACCCTGAGGCTTTTAAAGCAAAGTGAGGTTCTATGAGCAGTACAGAAACAATGTCAAGCCGGTGAAGCAAAAATCTCTTTTTTTGCTTTGTTCTGTGGGAAGCGTACCATCAGCTTTGGACCTAAAAAACCATCTCCAAAGAGCAATGATCTTCTACCTTGAATACACACTGGGGTGACCTGAGATGCTGTGGAGAAACAGTGGCCCTAAAAGCCACCACACCCCAACCAGACAGGCTGCGTCCCTCAGTCAATGCACTGTGCCGTGACACCGGTCCTGCGGTTGGCTGTCACGGTATCATCTTCCCTGGGAACCATGCGCAAGAGCTGGTTGGCTCTGCCTTGGATCCATGTCCCAATCACCGCCTAGGAACTGGCTTAGCCAACCTCAGGCTTCCCTTACAGAAGTCCCCTACCCACTGGGGATACAGGCCGCAACCCTGAGAGGATGCCTCAGACTCCGGATCAGTACTGCATCCCATATATACATTTTCCCTACACAGACCTACTTATGATCAAATTTAACTTAGAAGTCTGCACAGTAAGAGATTCACAACAATAGAACAATTATAAGAGTATGCTATAGTAAAAGTTATTTGAACACATGGAATATTTACTTCTAGAATTCCCCATTTAATGTTTTTGGGCCACAGATGACCGGGGTAACTGCAGTACCACAGAGAACATAATGGGGTGGGAGGTTATGTGCGTACAATTTAATTGACTGCAATCTGAAAAATTCAGATATAAACGAGACAGAAGGGTTACATAAACCATTTAGGGCACCTTTAGAGATGTGCTTTCCTAAGGAGTGTGGGTCCATGACAGGGTGTTGCTCAAAGCGGGCGGCCAGGGGGATGGTAATCTCCTGCCACCTGGAACTCTGACCCCATACTCTGGCATTGTCCCCTGCCCCCTTTTTGGTCCATGTCTTCTGATTTCTTCATTCAACAAACATTTACTAAGTCCTGCGTGCTGGCCCTCGCAGATATAGTGATGTATGCAGCAGGCCCACTTAGAGCTTACAGTCTGCCTTGGGAAGCTTACAACTGAATTACGCACTCATCACTGAGGAGTGGGAAGAGAATGCCATGGGTCATGTACCCTAGGGGCTTCTTCTTATCTACCCTTTCTGTGATATTAAAACTATTTTATTTAAAAAGTGAATAATAAATGCACATGGTATAATATTCACAAGCACTAGAATGAATATATAATATATATATATATGTTCAAATACACACACAGAAAGTATGTTTTCCTTTTGCTCCTGTTCTCTGGATCTCGCCACACACCAACCAACCACAGTTCTACATACTGCGTTTCAGCCCAGAGACTGCCCTGTGTGTAAATTCACAAATGTATTTGGGGGCAGGAGCTATAAAGCTAAAACCTTGGTCTTCAACCATCTTATGCTTCTGACATAGGAGTAGAAGAAAGAAGATACTAGATAGGCACTGACTCCAGAACAGCCAGGGCCAGCCCAAGGTTTCTGGCTACAAATCTGTGTTCACCTTTTGAATATTAAGTGTGACTTTTAGAACATGGAAGAAATCCTTCCAAAATATACTGTCAGTACTGTCAGATCAAAGGCCTATTTGTGTTGGACACAGTGTCTTGGAAAAAATTTTATTTTACTTAGACCATGGTATATTCTTCTTGATGGATACTCAAGTGGAGTGACAATAAACCTTCTCTCTCTCTTTTTTTTTTTTTGGTTCAGGGCCCTATCCTTGCCAGGCAGGCACTGTACCACCGAGCTATATCCCTGGGCTGCCTTTTTTTCTCTTTCTCCATCTCTCTGCCGTTAAGATAAGACCTCACTGTGTTACCTGGGCTGGTGCTGACCTCCTAGGCTTAATGGATCTTCCTGTCTCAACCTTAGGGTTGCTACAACTACTGCTGTGCCCAGGCTTTGAGTTGTTCTGTTTTAGAAGATGGCATCAGCTAGAATATGAGCTAAGTTGACAATGAAGCCAGCATGTCAGAGCTGCTGCTCTGTTGCTGCGGGACGAAGAGTGACAGAAGGGTGACAGGCTGGGTTCACTGCTGTGGCCCAATCCCAGCACTCTTTGTTTCCAGGTCCCAGTGAATGGAAACACCAGCACATTTTGCTTACATAATTATCCCCTTCCTCCCAGAAAAGAGGGTAAAATCTGGTCTAGGACAGCAGTCCCATCTAAGGAGACAGCATAGCAGTACGTGAGTCCTCTAAAGCCAGAGGTGGTGAGTGATTTTGGTCTTGTCTTGGGGAAGGAAGAGCAAGCAAGGCTGCTCAGCTGAGTGTCAGAGTGCACCTGCCTGTAAAGGTCACCCCTTTCTCTGCTCACTCTCACCAGGCCAAAGGGAAGTGTGTGTCTGAGTAGGAGGAGACTGCTGGGACTCTCTCTTGGACCCTTTCAAGAGCTTGGTCTTGATTTCTAGTCTCACTTCCTGCAACAGGGAGAGGCCACACAGAAGGCTAGGCAGGGGACAGGTTAGGCAGCCTCTGCCCAGGCTTTCATTCCAGGGTAGCCACAGAGGTCAAAGCCAAAGAGCCAGAAAGGGAACCAAACGGGAGAGGTCTGGGTGAGGGGAAAAAAGTTCCAGTGAGCGCTTCAACCCTTAATCTTCTTCACAGACTTATTTTCCAGCGAGGGGTCATGTTCCCCCAGTACTGCATATGGACTTCAGGCCATGTGGCCTCATCCTCACCATGCCCCCATGCCACCCATCTGTTGGGTAGTAGTCTGGAGGCCAGTGGGGGATGACAAAGGAAAGTGAGTGGGGAGAGGACAGGCTGAGGGGGAGGGGGAGCCCTATCGAGACAAAGAGAATCTGCATCAAGGAGGGTGGGCTGCAGTGAGAGGGAGGCGGTGCTTGCCCAAGGCTGCCGCTCTTAGGGCCACTGCTCCCCTGGTCGCCATGGCAACACAGCCCCTGCGATTTCATCTGACATTAAGATGCTGCCACTGCTGCTGCTGCTGCCACCACCGGCCCCAGCGAGCGCGGTGCTGCGGCTGGGGGTGTAAAATGTGCTCAAACACACGCACGCCCACCGAGAAGGAGATTCGCTTTATGCATCATTTATAGGCTCCCTGCCCCCCAAACCGTTCCTCTTTCCGCTTGTTTTTGTTTTTGTTTCTTCTTTCTAGAGAAGGTGGCGATTTGGGGCTTAGATCATCTCCTGGCATATTGATGAGCTCACCAGCTGCTGAAAGAGAAGGGAGACATGGATTTGGGGGTCGACCAAGGGTGGTATGCTGTGTACATGACAAAAACATGAAGAAATGGAGGAGGGGCAGAGATTTTTTTTAAACCAGGTCTGTACCTTAGCCAGAAATGTTGAAAAGGAAAAGCAGGAGAAAGAGCTACCCTGCAGGCATTGGAAACAGGCTCAGTGGAAACCCTGAAACCTGCAGACCTATGGGAACCTTCCTGCAGAGCTGATTCACATGACAACTTCCCTGCTCAGATTGCTGCTCCAGAAAAAGAAAATCAATTTTTAATTTTTTGACTCTAAGCCCAGCCTCGTGGTATTATCTCTAAATCACTTCAGCATGAACAGGGAAAGACTCATGAAACTACTACGCAAGGGCTAAAGCTGGTCTCCTCCATCTCTGGAGCTGCTGAGTCCTCATGAGCAAGGGAAGGTGGTGGCTCTGGCACTGTGCATACACCGAGGCCACACATGACTTCCAGGGCCGTGACTGAGCCCAGAAATGGCCTGTCAGGACCAGTGCCGTGCAATGAAGTCAAACAGTGAGCCAATGGGTGTGGCTGGGGAATTCTGGAAACTCAGTGCAGAGTGAACTGTGAACAGGAACATTTGCCTTTTTTTTTTTTTTTTTTTTTTTTTTTTGTCTTTTTCCTTTTTACTGGTACCAGGGATCGAACTCACGACTGCCTGCTTGCAAGGCAGGCGCTTATGCCGCTGAGCTAAATCCCCAGCCCCCGAACATTTGCCTTTTAACCAGCAGGCAAAGTCTCCCCTTTGTGATGCATCTCTCCTGGGTCTGGAGCAGCATGCTTTGTAAGATAATAAAGAGGCACACTGATGAATAATAGACATGGGACAAACTTGTATGGGCTGGTAGGGAACTGGCTCCCAATTGCTCTACCACCAATAGTGGGATTCCCAGGAATAAGAGGGCACTGGGTCTGCATGGAATCTGTTATGGCTCATTATTATCACTGCTGCTATCTAGATGGATTTTGGTCCATTTCAAGCATTCTAAGCACTCCTGATTACCTTGGAAGCCATTTTGGTAAGTCAGGGTAGAGCAGCAATATTAACCAGACATTGCAGCAGACGTGGACAGGAAATAGATGGGCAAAAATAACAAATGTGAACTGCATCCTGCACCCCAGACCCCAAACACTGCCACAGCCAAAGGGGAGTGGCAAAGTTATCTTTCTTGCAGGTAGTATGTGCAATGGCAGTGGGAGGGGAACGGAAGTATGGGCTGGGAATTAGGCATCTTTGGTGAGCAAGGCTCCCTGCAATCTGTGGGCTGACCTCCTAGACTAGACCTCAATTTGTAGGCTTGAAATTTCAGAACTGGGCCTTGTGAAAGGCCCGACCTTGAGTTCAGTTTTAAGCAGCAACACTTCTAGAACATCCTGACCAGAAGGCTATTTATTTCCTAAAGACCCCTTGCTTAGGGACAGATGGCCTGTGCCTCCCTCAGCTGCCTACTCTTGTATTCTTGCATTCTGACAGTGAAGAAGGTCTTCGTAAACCATGACAACCATCCTACTCCTTGGAAACACACCTAAAATAGGGATGAGAAGGCCTAAGTGCTGCAGATTGTTTCTGTAGTCTAAAAGGAGCATAGCACAGTCTTCCTGTCAGGGTAGGCTTGGAGGGATAAAGGCTATGCTCTCCCACACAATCATGAACAGGTTGGAGAGAAGGCTGTAGCAGTTACAGTAAGAGGACTTTCAATTCCTCATATAAATTCCTACTATGTTTGGTAGCCAGAGGTTAAGGGAATATTTGTTTAAGTGAAAATATTATTGAAATGACTAACAATTTATAGTAATTTGGACAAGCATCAGTTTGTTGAGACACGGGTGGTGATCACTTCTGGTTCCTTATAATCCTAGCCAGTCATTCTGGATTATATAAATCTCAGTTTCTCTAAAATATTTCAAATATTTATGGTTAATAAAATTTACATCTCTTCCAGAGCAGATGAGCATATGTGTTCTGTGGTTAAGAACTGAAAAGTGTGATCAGAGCTGAAAAGGTATCAAGCAAACAGTCTCTGTGGGTTTTACCCCGTCACCAGTCTCACTGCCTTTTCACCACTGCAGCCTGATGTTTCCTAATAGTGAAAAAACACCAAAGTCAGAGTTCAGGAAGCCTTCGGACCAAACCAGGTCCTACAGGGTGGTCAGAATGAAAGAACTTTGTCCTAGACTTCCCAAATTTCTCGAAGCCCTTCTTAAGTTTTACGTGTTGACTTAAAAAGTGAGTTGAGGTATTCTAATGCCTGGGAGGGACACTTGGTGAACTCATTAGGAAGACAAAAGGCACTGCCTCCTTTGTGGACAGTGGACTTCTACAGAGGCAGCAAGAAGTAATGTTAATGTGGGCAGGGATCCAAGGTGGAGAAGATGACCTGGTCCATAGCGCAAGTGAAAAGGGAAGGCAGTATGAGGACTCTTGTGATGGAGAGAACAAGGAAACACAAGAGCAGGGGCAGGAGGCCGCAGAGCCAAGAGTGCCCTACAGCCCCTTGTGAGGGGGGCCAGCTCGATGGGTGTGCACCAGGGAGCGGCATCGGCTCCCCTCAGTCTCCTTAGTGTGGCCCCAGCCTCCTAGACAGCTGGGTAGCTGTCTGCCTGTGTCTCTGTCTGTCCGTCGCACATGAAGAAAGGGTAGGGAGCACCAGGGCGTACCAGAGGCCAGGAGGACAGGGAAAGGAAAAGGAGACAGGAGGTCTTCAATGGACCTTGGTTACAACCCAGTGACTTCATTTCACAGGTGAGGAACCATGCCCGGAGGGCATGAGGTAGTTAATGGTGGTTGTGAAACTCACTTTGTACCTCGTAATTCTGATTCAGTGTTCATTCACATCATTGATGGCAGGAAGACAAAGGGGAGAAGCATGAATGTCACCAATAATGAAAGAGCACAATGTAAATGAGAAACAGAAAAACTTTCACAGGAAACTGAAAAGGTTATAAAAAAATTCCTTCCAGTCTTCATGTTGAGCTGGGGAGTGAACTCAGCCTTTCTCGTGCTGGTAAGCACTCTACTCCTGAGCTACTCCCTCAGTACTCTTTCAGTCTTCAGGACCCCACTCTATCTGAGGCACCTCAGTATCCAAGGTGCCTGCTTTTCTTTTTTTTGTCCTTTTGAGACAGAGTTTCGCTATGCAGATGAAGCTGGCCATGAACTCATGGCAATTCTCTTGCCTCAACCTCCCAAGTATTGGGATTACAGCCATGTGCTATGTGATGGAGAGAACAAGGAAACACAAGAGCAGGGGCAGGGAGGCTACAGAGCCACGAGTGACACCCAGCCAAGCTGCCAGCTTTGGAGTGAGAAAGCCTGACTTCCCCCTGGACAAGCAGTCAGCTCTTGACTAATTTCCTAATCTCCCCAATAGGGATCTTATGAAGATCAAGAAAGATCTCAGCCTGGGAAACATAGTGAGTTCAAGGCCTGACTTACATAGCAAGACTCTGTCTCAAAGGAAAATCCGTAACAGCACACTCTCAGCTTGGTGCTGAGAAGCACTAGAAAGAGCTTACTAAGCACATGCTGTCCTGTAACTACGATGACCACACAGTTGCTACAACCAGGGGTCAATTAGTTTTTCTTACAAGAAAAATGCACTGAAAATGTGCTGGTGTTTTCCTATGCATGGGAAAGCATTTCTATTTCCTCTGGGGCTAAATGAGTGTATGTGTCTTTCTGGATTTCCCACAGTGAAAAAAAGCATCCTCTTGCTTTGTCTTTGGTGAAGCATGCTTCCTTGTGACCTCACCTCCACCTTCCTCTGTGGCTGAGAAAGTCCAGTCTCGGTTTCACAACTGAAAAAGGAGCTGGTTCTCAGCAGACCGTCTCACTCTCTGCACCTCTTGTTCAGAAGTAGGATGGTGACATTGAAGTTACTGATTTCTATATTTTGCTTCTTTTAGTCTTCCTTAGGCAACTGGGCTTGGGTCATAGCTGAGATTAGGAATTCTCAACCTGAAAATTCCTAGGTCAGGGCCAACATGCCTCTTCCATCATCTATAAAATGAGGAACACGAGGTCCAGTCAGCTCTTGAGTGGGGACCTGCGGGCTCCTGGTGTCATTTCTTTGGCTGTTGGGTTGATACTCCCAGGGTCCAGGACATACCTTGCCTTTCTCTTTTCCCCATGCGATTTCGGTGGCTTGCTCACTGAGAAAGACCTCACGCTGTGGCTTTGTGGCCCTGGTTATTTTTAGCCCCACTAACTGCTTCAGCGGGAGCTGCATGGTGTGCAGCTGCGCGCAGCAGCTGCTCTGGTTTGATTTCTGGTTGGAATTACTTGTCATTTCTTGGCAGGTGATCGCTAAAATTCCTTGTTTCCTCAGGTGATTTCGAGCACTTTCTCCCTTGGAGGATATGGTCTGACATCAGAGCTAAGTAAACAACCGTTTGTATTAGGCTGAAGACACTCCAGAACCGTGCTAGAAAGGAAGACTTTAATTTCAACATTCAGAAACCACATTTCTCTGCCCCAGAAATATCAGGTGTGCAGCACAGACTATTTGTGAGCTTTGATTCCAACAGCTTCCTTAAGGCTCTTCCAGGTTTCTAAATGAGCCCAAGGTGGGTTGGGGCCGCTGTCCTCCTGGAGAAAGCAGAGAGGAGGAGTGCTGGCCTGCCTTGCACCTAGTCTCAGGAGGAGCTGGGCCGTCCGCACATCTCTCTTGCTCATCTTTTCTTTCTGGAGCATTCAGTTACTGATCTGTTGGCTCACTGGCCACACCTCTGTTTGTCCTGATGCCTCTGGCATTCGTGCATGCTTTTTCCAATCTAGAAGATTCTTGGTCCTTTTTCCAGGCTAATTTCTGTCTGCTATTTGTTTCTCATCAGCATTGCTCTGAGAATGCTTCCTAATCTTCTAAGACAGGGTCCAGTCTCCTCAACATATACTGGCTATTACTATAGTTAACACACTAATTTGTTTTCCTCACTATCATCTTTCCCCTCCCTTCTATAAAGATTTCTAGGCCTTATCAAATAATTCCTCTTCTCTGCCTCTCCCTTGTTTTTCTGGTATTGGGGATTGAAACTGAGGCTCTGTATGTGGCTAGGCAGGTGCTCTGCCACTGAATGACTCTCTTGGTCCCAAATTTGTTGTTTTTCAAATTGCTTCCCTAAGCCTCCTATTTTTTTTTTTGTCTTTTTCATTTTTATCGGTACCGGGGATCGAACTCACGACTCCCTGCTTGCAAGACAGGCGCTTATGCCGCTGAGCTAAATCCCCAGCCCCTAAGCCTCCTATTTTAAGTGAACACAATATCTATTCAAACCAAGTCCTTTGTCAATTTTGAGTTTGAAAAACACTTCAATTGTGCTCATGTGTGAAGATGTGACCCTGCAGACTCTCAGAGACTATATGTGTCTAAGGTAAAGCCAAGAGTAGGAAGTGAAGGCTGTGGCTGGATCACTGATGTGAGCTCAGACTGTTCATCTGGTCCTGGTCACCCCCTCATGAAGCCTCCTTTTTGTGGACTGATAAGTGAAGATTCCCATTTTCTTTTTTTTTTTTTTTTTTGTCTTTTTCCTTTTTATCGGTACCGGGGATTGAACTCACGACTGCCTGCTTGCAAGGCAGGCGCTTATGCCACTGAGCTAAATCCCCAGCCCCAAGATTCCCATTTTCAAGGTGAAGCAACTCTGGACAAGGAAGGAGGAGCCAAGCAAGAAAGCTGTCTCACTGATGGTTTGGAGCTAGTCTTCATTTCCTTCCATAAGAATTCTTATAGCAGAGAAGGAATTTATAATTATATACAATTTCCACAGTACTGCTGCTTTTCCTGAGCCCAGCCTCTCTGCCGTGTCACACAGGAGTTAATGCCAAGAGCAGCTGTTATGGGCTATCACACACTGGGGTTGGCTTCTTGTGACAGCTTTCCAAGAGACCACCTCAGGAGTCTCCACAGCCTTCCTCCATCACCAAGTTTCACGGATGGTTCAATCTTCTGCTTTTAAAAATGGCCGCACGAACAAGGCCTCTGTCTGAAAGAGGTTTCAGAACACTAACATGCCTGCAGCTGTGCCTGGCACTACTGTAGACCCAGGGTGCTGGTGGGTGGAGGCTTTCTCAGGAGGGTCTGCCTGGGGTGATGGTAATTGAGAGTCTGTCAAGACGCTGCTAGGCAGCACTGTGGACAACAGCCAAAGATCTGTTCTCTACTTCATGGCCTTTAAATTCTCGAGAGCCTGGCAGAAAGGCAGAGGCAGACATTTTCCACACTAGTTACAGCTACCAAAAAGCCAAGTGTCTTTATTCTTGTGATAATGAATTGGCCCCTTTGGGAAGTATCCTCTCCTGCCCCACTGGGTGCTGGGAGTGGAAGGCAACCTGATTGGAAGAAACATCCAACCTCCCCTGGCCTCTGGAAAGCTGAAGGCAAGACACCGAGGACCCTATTGCTGCTAGGGATAAGGAACAACAGGAAGGGAGAGTGCACGTGTGCAGGGCTGGAGCTGGTTCTTTAGTCAGGAAGTCAAGAGTAAGAGACCAGCCCTCAAGTTGGGGTGTATATGGCTCAGAACCCCGCTAATGCCCAGGACTTGTGAATGCTACCTTATATGGCAGAAAGGATTGTGGATGTAGCTATGGAAGGCCCTTGGGGCAGGAGACTGTCCTAGATTATTCAAGAGGACCCTAAGTGCTACCACAGTGTCCTTTGAGAGAGAACGGTGGGAGAGTCACCAGCATACAGTGTTCATAAGCCAAAGAATGCATAGTCACCAGAAGCCAGGAGGAACCAGGCCCTGTGACACCTTGACTTCAGCCTAGTGACATGACTTGAACTGCTGTTCTTTAGAACAACAGTTTGTGACTGTAAGCATCCAAGTCTGTGGCCAATGAGCAGTCTGCACCCTCTGATATATCTTCCAGTTCAGCCCCAACAAATAAGGATTTCACGTTGGTTTTTTTTTGGGTACTGGGGATCGAATTCACAAGGTCACGCTTGCCAGGCAGGCACTTAAGCTACTGAGCTAAATCCCATTTCACATTGTTATGTAAGATAGAGTCAGTATCACAGCTATGCCTGTAGACAGGCACCACTCACATTCATGCCCTTCCCCTGGTTCAGAATCAGGAAAGTTCTATAGCTTTTTTTTGAGACAGGGTTGCGCTGTGTAGCTGAGGCTGGCCTTAAGCTGACTGCCATCCTCCTGCCTCAGGCTCTTGAATACCAGGATTACAGGCATGCTGCCACTATGCCTAGGTCATCTCATTATGTAATCACAGTGCCCTAGGGTGGGGAACCGAGATCTTAGAAGAGCTAACAAACTAATCTGACACGGGGTGGGGGTCTCTGAAAGCACATGAGACTGCAGTGGAGACAAGGGCAGGAGGCAGCAGAACAATCAGTGTAGTGCAGTGTGCTGCCAGGACTAAGGGGAAGGACAAGCTGGCCAGAGGAGGCAGGGAAGACGGGTGTGCTGCAGAGGCACACTCTAAAGCACAGGGAAGGGTAGGAATGTCTGGTTCTTTTCTGTCCCGTCTTAAAACTTCTTGCTCAGAGAAGCCTGGGTCTGTATGTGAGCAGGACTTATGTTAAAGGGCTGTAGGGGCACTGGAAGGTGGAAGGGACTCCATGGTTGCAGCTGGGTAGGGGAGTGGAGGTGCTGGCCGTGGTGGGTGGCTATGGTCCCTGCTTAGGGGTGGTGGGGCAGGGTCTCAGCTGCAGGTTCAGCCTGTTTTCAGTGTCTCTAGTCTCTGAGGGAAGTCAGACAAGGGGTGCAGCATGAGAGAGGACACTCTGTCCTTAGCTGCAGTGGCACCCCAGGAGCTCCTATCAAGGACACCCTGCTGATCCCAGTGTGGCTCCACAACCTCAAGTGCTCCTGCTGAATATCCACTGGAGCTGCTGCAGCTCACACTCCTGCCTTCATGACCAGCCAGTCATTTCCTGCACACTCGGGCTCCACAGCACTGGGGGATGTTTTGTGGGCCTTTGTGGCTAAGGATGAGCAGTGCAACCTCAGTTCTCCAGGGACAACCAAAGAGATGCAAACAAAACACGAAGGGGCAGACACCTGACACAGCCACTGCCAGCAGGGAGAACAGGCAGAGGACCCTTGATTATACCCTATCTGTGGCTGTGGGTAAGTCATAGAACCTTTCATGACCTTCTTGTCCATCTGTAAAATAGGTTTGTTTAAATAAAATAACAAATGGCTCACGTGGTTGTAAGATTTGAATAAGATAATATTTTAAGACTATCATAACTGCGTCTCAACATGATATACCATGTATCATAAAGAAATATAAAAAATTACATTGATAAGGGGTAGAAGAAGCATAGACTAAGCGTTAGTGTAATTCCAAAGATACAAGAATTTCACTGTGACTCATCAGGCCGCTCTGGGACAAGGATGAAAGATACTGTTCAAGAGAAAAGAACATCTTGATATTAAGAGTAGTAGATAATGGTTTTTGCCTGCTCTTTTTGTTTTGTTTTGTTTTTTTTTTTTTTTTTGGTTGTCTGCTTTTATTCTCTTTGGAGAACTGATCCTTCCCATCCAACTTGGGATCAAATCCTTAGCCTTGATAGTGCCGCTCTGGGACTCTAATCCTAGGACCTTGTTTCCCAGCCTAATGAGTCTGGATGGAGTCTGGGTTGTTTAGAGACTCTCACTAGGATGCACAAAGTTTGAAGCAGGGTAATGCAGATCTGGAGCTGCCTGGGGCCAAGATTTTTCCAGGGCACAAGCCAAACCATAGGATACAGGAAGCAAAACTTGGAGCTCAGGGAAGGTCAGGAGAACAGGCTGGTGGGAAGAAGCAGACAGGTCTTGCTCTAGGACATTTAGCCCCGAGGGCCTGAAAACTGGGTAAGCTCCTTCCAGGACATTCAATTTGGAGTTGAAGCCAACCACTATATCTGAAAGATTCTGATTTATGTACTAAACTTACTCTGCAACACCAAATAAAATTTGATGGAGGGCAAATAAGGATGTTATCAGAGAAAGACTCCATAAAGACCATTGTTTTTCCTGAAAAAAAAAATGGCATAGCTCAGCATTAATAGACATTAATCCCCAATTTTCTAAACCTGGCTCAAGGCATTAACAGCCTCTCACGTGACTCAAACAGGAATGGCCATGTGCATGCATAATGATGAATACTAGAGACACATTCATGAAGGTTTGGCTAGATTATTCTAACAAGGTCGAAGTAAATTGAAAATATACACAGCCAACAATGCTGAAATGTAGAGAAAAGTGCCTGAAAGGACATGTAAGCTTCTAGAGTATTGTATTATCTGCTTACTGAACAGGAAAAATTCATGTCTCAGCACCAGCATCAGGCCTCACAAAACAGCACTCACTCTTCATGGCCACATCATCACCTGGCAGCAAACTGCTGCCCACCTGATGTGCAGGGGCATCTCACCCACCCTGCAATAAGGTGAGGGCAATTCTCAAGATGCCACACTGGCTGCATAAGTGGCTGCTGAGAATTCTACAGCTAGCTTCCCAGTAAGCAGTGAAAAGGCTGTTCTCTACTACAAGTCTCAGACCAAGGAAGGACACAAATGTCCCTCTGCGAATCATTTTCTGTATATGTGCTGCTGAAGTGAGCAAATGTACATCATTTTCTGATTGCCATCCTCTTTTTACCCTTCAACTAGATATGATCTACTTTCTTATAAACCTATATGCCAGTTCATTTCTGACACTAAGGGGTCTGTCTACTCGATGACACCAATTCAGAAATTGAGACTGCAGCAGATTAAGTAGGGCAGTACCACTGTCTTGTGGTGAACTACGGCCTTTAAAGAGGTACCTGTAATGAGGATTTGGACTAATTTCACAAGCATGAGTGGGAGAATATTAAAAATAGAACACAGGCAATTTTAGGTAGAATCTCATTAAAAATTCTGCGTAGGTCTTAAAACAGCACAGAGACTGACACACCTATTTGTCCATAGCAGAACCATGGCTCTCCACTTTCAATGCATACTAGGTCTGACACATTTGGATTTGGGTTTATTTACTTAGAATGAAGTACAATGAAGGAGAGCTAGTCTCTTTAAGAAGCCTCAGTTCATCACTTCTCCTTGTTTCCTTGGTTGGTTCTTGTTCATTTTTTTTTTTTTTTTAAGAGGCCGGGTCTCGCTATGTAGTTCAGACTGGCTTTGAATTCACCATGTAGCCCAGGCTGGCCTTGAACTTGCAGTGATCCTGTTGCCTCAGCCTCCTGTTTACTGGGATCTTATTCATTCTTGTTCCCTGTCTGTCCCAGAACTTGTGGCATGGTGGCCTGCGACATTCTTGCAAGTGGTTTCTGTGGAACAGCATGTTCCTTTCTTCCTGCTCTTCCACCATTCCTGCTACCTCCACCACCTTGCTCTTCCTCCGTTTGCAAGGCTTCAGACAATCCTGTATGCTGATAACTCCCAAACTACCGAGTCCTACTTGCCCATCTGATTCCAAACTTCATGTCCAGCTGCTCCCACACATACTGCTTACATGGAGGCTGCTCAGCTTACTGTACACTCACCCAACACCAAGCCAGAAGCCTGCAGATCTCCACAATGCCACCTCCTCTTTGTCACTCACTGTGATCTACCACCAAGTCCTGGAGGACACACACTCTGAATCAGTTCACTACTGGAACTTTCCTCTTAACTTTACTAAGATACTTTAACAGCTTTCTCTTTGGTCTCCTGGCTTGCTACCCAGTCTACAAACTGCAACTAGAAGGATCTTACTAAAATGTGTATCTCTAAGGTTCAAGTCTGGTTTCTGGCTTGAAACCCTCGTTTAGCTTCTCATCATCCTCAGGGAAAAGTCCATGGTCTTTCTTGCATCTCTGTGACCTCTTTACCCGCCCTGGGCCCAGGCTCGCAGGTTCCTAGCTCCCCTGGCCCCAGCCCCACTGCTGTTTTTAGCCTGTGCTGTCCTCTGCTCTCTTCTGGCTTTACATATCCTTTCCTTTGTCAAAGCAGCTGCTTTCTCCTTTACTCTTTCCCTACTATAAGCTGACCCTAAAGAAATAAAGCACAGTGCAATACAGATTTAACACAAGGATGTGATGGGTTCTGCCTGTGGGAAGCTCTTCCAGGCTCAGCATGGCGCCTGCCCAACAGGTGATAGACCCTGGAGTGACAGTGTGTTCCTCTAGTGCTCACTTCTATGTTCTTCTTCCAAGGTGGAACTGAACTTCCTGCTTTTAGCATGCCTGCCAACATTCCCCCAATCAGCTGCCTGTACATCATTTTGCCCACTCCTTCAAACTCCACCCCAATCAAACTGAATGAAAGCTTGCTGCTTCTTTGTCTGCCTGAGAGAGATCTTTCACTCTTCGGCAGCCCTCCTGTGCCTGCAATACCTTTTTTTGCTCTTGCTTCTGTACAGCACCAAGGAAAAACCTTAGGATGCTCATCACAGTATAAATTACAATTAAAAACTTGAAAAACATTAAAATGTCCAACAAAGAGTTTTTAAAGGCTGTATAAGTGACTGTGTCAATGAGAAATTCAAGTATAGATCAGAGTATATTAAATGAGAAAATCAAGTTATAAAAGTTGCTTTCCATCATATCTTAACTTCACAGATAATAAGATAGGAACATTTTTTTTTTTTTTTGGCACGGCAAAATTGCAAGGTAATTTGAGGGCAAATGTAGACAAATAGCAAAGATTCTATTTCTCAGGGAGGAATGCTTTGTATAGAAGTTTAAATCCGCAACAGGTACAATGTCCAGAGATTTACCCCTGTGTACTGCAATCATCTGTTGCAGAGGGTGAAGTATGACCGACAGCTGAAGGGAGTGGGGAAGTCACTGACAAATGCTAGGGCTAATATTAACTCCTCCTTTCTTTCCTCTCTGTGTCTCGCTGAGAGGGACTCAGGCTTTGTGGAACCGGCAGGAGGGCCACATGATGTGGTGGAACTGAGTGAGTGAGACACAATTAAGTCTCAGGAGCCCGCAGCTGCTGGCCTCACTCAGAGGGAACAACAGGTGTTATCTCAGCCCCTCCGTGTGCCCAAACACGAACAGAGAATGCAGAGCACACATGAAACTTTTGTTCTCTAGAAAAATGAAGATTATTCAGCTAAGCCCATACAGTTGAATCCGTTGGCTGTTGGTGGTGTGTTAGTGTTTGCAAGGTGACACAGAACACTGAATGGCACTATGCACGAGGTTCTCACCAATCAGACACGTGCTATTTCTACTAGAGGTTCTTTTCAGTCTTAATTAAATGTGGCATTTAGTCTACTAGCAGTTAAAAGTGAAAGGTATACTTTGGAAAAATGAGTCCAAACCTTTAGCTTATGCAAAAATGTTTTAAAGCACACACTTGAAAACACAGCATCTTTTACTCAATTAAGTTTAATTGCTAAGTTTTCACTTTATGACATAGCATACAGTACTTGTTGCAAAGCACACCAAGTAAATAATTACAAACAACATATTTGTTAAAGTAGCAATTTCAGTCTCTTTGAAGAGGGAGAAAAATATGTTGTATTTATGAAATATTTATGTAAGACCACTAACTCATGCTTTTTTTTTTTTTTTTGGTACCAAGTATGGAACTCATGACCTCATACTTGCCAGGTAGGTGCTTATGCCACTAAGCTAAATTCCCAGCCTTCTAACTCACGCATCTTTGAGGACCTCTATTTTCCGGGCAGAAACAAGACTATAGTAACTTGAGGAAGAAGAGCAAATTTCTTTTTTATTCTTAACTCTAATCCTGCAGAAATTTTGGGTGGTGGCACTGGAGCGGTCACAGAAAAGTTGTGAGTCTTCTAGGCTACAGACTTTGATTCTGCTATTTTCCAGGGCTAGGAAGAAGAAAAGTACCACAAATCATAAGTGGTATCCTGAGAAAGTAAAATAAAAGAAGACTGCATCCTGTCTTGTCATTTAAAACTCCAGACTGACTTTTACTGATGAAAGTGACTGGCTTCTTAGTGGCTTAGATATTAAAAAGGACCCTACATGTGGCTGTTTGGTTACATAAGTGGTAAGTCACATGTGCTGACTTGATCTCTTAGATTTTCAAGTGGATAATTCCAAAGGTGATGGCAGTGGGTTAGTTTCTCTAAATTAGATTTGACCTGGGGAAAAATGGTAGTGTAAATAGGAAAATATTATTATGGCATATATCTCATTTTATAGTTTGGTTTACCACTTGGAATCTGTGGAGTTTTCCAGTGGGACAGCTTTGAATGCTGGCAATGTTCCAGAAATTGTCACTGACTCCTTTTAATCTGACTGCTCAGGATTTCGTTTTGGTGCTTTGAGAAAATACTCATGAATTGCATCCTTTCACAGTTAGAAATCCAAGGATTCACACTTCTTGTCAGCAATAAGTGGATTTTGGGAAGAAACTCTATTTTTGGAGTTGAAAGGCCACCTTTGACCTAGAAATGTGCAGCTGGATGGAAGATGTTTCTCTGTTTTGTCTTACTTGATTTGCTCAAGGAATGTGTAAGAGTGCAGCCTCAGCGGGCTTGTTTCCTCCTAGGACTCTGAGATGACCCATATTAAATACATCTTAGGAATTTTAGATTTTAAAGTATACATGTTGGTCTTGTGTGACCCATGTTACCATCCTTTCAATTCAGATTATTCAAAAGCTTCCAAATTAAAATATTCAAAGTCTTCCTAGACAGGAGAGTCAGGATTTGTTCTTCCAGATTAGAAGCTATGGGCCTAATCCAGTTGGCCACTTGTCTTGGTAACCAAAATTTTTATCAGAACATGGCCTTGTCCACTGGTTACGTATTGTCTAGAGTTCCTTTTGTCCACTCAGGATTGATGCTTATCACAGAGACTGTATGAACTGCAAAACCTAAACTGCTTACTATCTGGCTCTTCACAGTGAGAAAAATGTGTCCTGGTCAGGTATGGAAGATAAACTAAGGAATTAAAGAGAGGGTTTATGAAAGTAATAATGTATCTAAGTGCAGAGGTGCATCCCTGTAATCTCAGCTACTCAAGAGGCTGTAGTGGAGGACTGCAAGTCTGAGGCCAGCCTGGGCAATTTAACTAGATCCTGTCTCAAAAAAATATAAAGGGATAAGGAGCTCAGTGTGAGGCCTTGGGTTTAATCTTTAGTATGGGGAAAAAAAGTAATGTTAAAAAGAAGGAGCTATATACACGGTGGTTTCACAAACGTTTAGTTTTTAAGGGTATGATTATTTACTATTATTTATTTTATTTTATTTTTTACACAGAGCCTCACCATGTAGTTCAGGCTGGCTTTCAACTTACTATCCAGTGATCCTCTTGCCTCAGCCTGCCAAGTGCTGGAATTATAGGTGTAGGCCGCTGCCATGCTTTACTTTTAATTGCTTTTTATATCTGGATTGCAATTTATCAGTAATAAGACTCGGTTATGCAACGAGCAGTTTGTCTGAGGAATGTCATCAAGTAGTGCAGGAATCTATAGGAAAAGAAACCCACCCACAGAGGGATATGTGACCTTACAATATGACAGAAAACAGTGCTTATAAATCATAGTAATGCAAATACAATTATTGGGTTTTGGTTTTAGACTCAATCAAGGTAGAAAAACATATAAATATGCTTATTATCAATATAAAAATAAAGCAATAGGAGCCAAAAGTTCAGGGAAAGAAAAAGCAGGCCACTTGTCCCTTCATTCTTTATCATGGTGAATTGAGAGACAGTGCCCAAAGTTGATGGGGCATGAAAACACATTTTTGTATACTTCTGTATTTCATGAATTCGAAGACCCACGTTTTTTCAATCTTTAATATATTTGAACTGGGAGAATGGGGATATAGCTCAGTGGCACAGCACCTGCCTGGCAAGTGCAAGATTGTTAAGTTAGATCTCTGGTTTAAAAACAACAGCAGCAACAACAACAACAAAATACACACACACACACACACACACACACACACTCACATGGCAGTGGTTTTTTCCTTACATTCCAGTGGAATGTAAGATAATGGTGCATCTTAGATTCTATATTTGATTTATTTTTTGTTTTAGAGAAAGTCTTTCTGCATTGCCTAGGCTGGCTTTGAATTTCTGGCTCAACTGGTCCTGCCTCAGTCTTCTGAGCATCTGGGACTATATACTATAGTATTTTTTTTCCTTTCCTTCTTTCTTATTATTTTTTTAAAAATCTTTTTGAGATAGGGTTTTGCTATGCAGTTGGGGGTGGTCTAGAACTTGTTTACATAGCCCAGGCTGACCTCAAACTGATTAGTAATCCTCCTGCCTCAGCCTCCTGAGTGCTGGGGATTACAGGCATACACCACCATGCCCAGCTGTACTATAGTATTTTGAACTGTAAAAGTAAACAATAGTAAACTAAAGGTATTAGAAAATCAACTGTCATGGTTTAGGTCGGTGGCCCCCAGGCCTCAAGCGTTTGCACTGTGCATTTGTGATTGGTTCATTGTCCAGCACTTAGATTGATGGTGTCAGTGCTACACCTGCCTGAGGGTGTAGTCAGCATACAATGTAATGGTAGGAAGAAGGTCTGTCTCTCTTTTGCCGGTTTGCGCTCGCTGTTTGCAGGCAACATGAACTGTGGCCCCACCATGCCACCCTGCCTTGGAGCCAATTCAGTATGGACTGAAACCTCCAAAAACTTTAAGAAATAAACCTCTCCTTTCCCACCTTTGGGCATCAGACATTTTGTCTCAGTGACAAGTAAAAAGTAACTAAGACACAATATATATTGAGAGGGAGTGACCAAGGGTAGCAAAGTAAACTACTATCTTTCATAGTCAAAATTGCATAGATAATTGGACCAAGTGGTGCACACTTATAGTCCCAGCACTTAACACTGTGAGCTCAAAGTCAACCTGTACTACCAAAAAAAAAAAGTTCCATAAATGATGTCCAAATATGATGAATTAAAAAAAGTAGCAGCATACACACATTATTTATCATTATATTTTAAATACTGCTACTATTTGACTCTTTTGTATCATGCTGTGTAAACTTCTTGTGGCTTTTATACCAGATTACCACAAACTTGGGGTCTTAGAACAACAGACATTTATTTATTTATTTATTTTGATACTGGGGATCGAACTCATGACTTCACGCTTACCAGGTAAGCACCTGAGCTGCTGAGCTAAATCCCCAGTCCAATAATAGAAATTTATTTCACAGCTCTGGAGCCCACATATATGGGATCAAGATGTCATCAAACCTCATTCCTCCAGAGGCTGAGGGCTCCTGTGTCTCTTCTAGCTTTTTTATTTTTTTAAAGTATAAATCTTAGGTCATTCCATTTGAAGTTCTTCACTGACTCTCTAAAACTTCCAGGATCAAGGTCAAAGGGTGTATTGGTTAAAAATATAACTCTAATCTAAAGCACAAACAAAAGAAGAAAAACAGACAAAATGGGTATCTTCAAAATTTAAAAAAAATTCGTGTTTTAAAAGATACTATTATTAAGAAAGTAAAAACAAAAGCTTCAGAATAGAATACAAAATACTTGGCATTCACGTATCTGGTAAACAACTTGAAACTAGGATATGTAAAGAATTCTAAGAGCTCAATAATAAAAAAGCAAACAGCCCAATCAAAAAACAGCCACAGGATCCTTTTTGGAAGAAAATAAACAATGTTCAGTAAGCCCATGAAAAGATGCTCTAATGTTGCTAGTCATCAGGAAAAACCACAAAGAGAAACTAATAACAGCCAGGATGGCTAATTGTCAGAATGACAGGTAATAGCAAGTGTCGAGGAAGAATGGAGAAAGTAAGAGCTGTCATGCACTGCTAGTGGAAATATAAAATGATACTTTTGTCATAGAAAATCATCAAGCATGTATACAAAAAGTTAAATATACAATAATGAGGTTCAATTTAACTACTATGTGTATATGCAAGAAAAATAAAAATGCAAATATAAATTTTCTTTCTTTTTTTTTTGGTACTGGGGATCAAACTCACAACCTTGCACTCGCCACGCAGGTGCTTAGACCACTGAGCTAAATCCCTGTCCCCAACACAAATTTTCACAGTAGAAATATTCTTAAAACTCCATAAAGTAGAAACAATCCAAACAGTCAACAACTGACAGAGAGGCAAAATATGGCACCCAAACAGAAGAATATTACCTGCCCATCAAGAAGAATAAAATTCTGTAATATGTTACAACATAGATAAAACTTGAAAACATTATGCTAAAGGAAAAGTCAGTTACAAGAATCTGCATGTTGTATGATCCCATTTATATAAATTATCTAAGGCAAATCTATCGGGGCAGAAAACAAATGAGTGGTTGTCTGGGGCTCAGTGGAGAATTAGAAGTGACAAGGGGGGTCATCAAAGGGTTTCCATCAGAGGTGATGAAGTAAATTCTAAGTCAATTATGGTGATGGTCACAATTCTGAATGTACTAAATCCATTAAGAAACATACTTTAAGTGGGTGAAACGCGTGGTATGTGTAGCTTTTACTGAGATAAAGGCTCTTTGGAGAGCTAAGTTGTTGGTTAGAAGTGCCTAGAACTAGGTAGACTGTGGTTCAGCCCTAGCTCCAAGAGAACCTGCAGACTGGAAGAGACCTGCACACACAGCAACTGCACAGTCCCCAGCATGTAACAGGTAATTCACCCTTACAAGCAGGTGCCCTTGACACCTCGTTTCCCCAGCACAGTTTCACATATTCTGTTCTTATTAGAATATTCTTTTTTCCCAGTGCCTCCACCAAGCTAATCCCTCTTTTCTTCCACTGGAGGCTCTGAAAACTGTTCTGCCTCCTGTCTCATCTGCTTAGCTTCACACTCTTCACAGGAGCCTCCACAGCTCCTGGATAATACAACTACTACAGCACTTGCCATTCTCCGTAGTACTGGTCCACTCGTTTCCTACTTTAGTTGTACTTGTATGTGCAGTGCCCAGCAGAGTGAAAAGGGGTAAGAAGTGGAACTTCTAACTACCCACTGGGCCTAAAGAGAAGTGCTGCAGCACTGATGGAACAGGGAATCCCAGTAGGAGAAGGCAGCAGACATTTCCCCTTAGGGTCCAGGCTAAGGACCTGCTGCTGCTTTGTTTCTCTGGGCTGGGGAGCTAGCACAAGTGCTGCCCTCCCTTTCCTTAAACACACACATGTGCAGACCTGCCCACTGTCTGCTTCCTACAGGAGCACGGCGAGGTGAGGCACACAGCCTCTCTTGTGACACCAGACAAGCCTTATTTCAGCTGCGGCCCCATCAGTTTATTAACATGTTATTGACTCACATGTTTAGACATGCAGGCTTAATGGGATGGGATATCTAAAGGGCAAAAACAGTGTGATGTTTACACCTAGCAGTGTATGGAAAATGCATTTGCAAACCCTGTAGGAGGTAATGCTCAAAGAAAGCAGTATGGGAACAAAGAATGACTGTTTTATAAATACTCTCTGTGTCACAAGTGCAATCTGGTGATAAGTCCACTGAGGCTTGTGTGAAATGGATCCTCTCTAACTTCCAGAAATCACAAGGTCCCCAAAGGGTGGGACAATCTGGGGAGCATAGCACACAGGAAACTGGATTCCATTATCTTGAGCTCTCTTCCAATGCTGGGATTCCACGATTGCAAATCTTTTAGTTGATTATCTGGTGAGAGCTGTTTAAAACGTGAGGATTGCCAACCCACAGTGTGCTCCCTTCATGCTACAGTCTAGGTGAGAGGCACCCGGTGCAGATCACAAAAGTGTGGTCCTGAGGTGGCCTGCTAAATCCTGATTAGAAATAAATCCATGCATATTAAAGCAACAAGGGCTTGCTTATTTTTTTAAAACAATACTGTCAAACTACACATGACTGAAGTGACATATTTTAAAGACATCTCTGAACATAAGAAGGATTGGGTTTTGCTATTAGCCCTGTCTCAGGACAGCACCCTTTATAAAATACTAGCAGTCTTCCCTGGTCCCTACTGTATTTGACTAATTAAGATTAGAAAAACAAGGATAAGCTGGCAATCTTCAGGAATCTATTTTTGAAAGTCAGTATATTTACATGTCCATAAATGAGTCTCAAATACATACTCTTCCTAAGTGCCATATTAATTAGGCAATTGTTTGTCTTTATTTTTATTAAAGCAGAAAAGGATCAATGTGGTCCACCAAGTACACACACAGGTACACCTCAACACCCACACTCTTCACTTCATGTGCTATTCTAAGAATAATGACACACAACACAGAACCAAGGAAGTCAAATTCCCCATCTGTTATGGTTTATATCTAGATATTCTCATAGGTGGGGCTTTGGGAGTTCCTGGATCATGGGAGTGACATTTGTCCACTGATGAGTACAGAGCTAAATGTGATGTTGGGAAGGGAAATTTGGTCAGAGGAGGTGGGTCAATGGGGGTGTGGCCTGGGAGGCTCTATCTCCTTCCCACCTTCCTTGATCTTCCTGCTCCTGTAGCCTGGCTGCCCTCTGAGATGCCACTCTGCCA